GGGGGGGGGGGAATCATGGGAAAGATGTGGGATCCTGTATGTTTCTGCTGTGTGTTGCAGGTGTCGTGAGGCCTCCCGCGGTCCACATATCACCTTCATTGTGCTGACTCGTACATATGAGGCGGTGCAGTGAGAAGCAGGAAATCCACTTAGAGTAATAGTTCGACATTTTGGGAAATACACTGAATCGCTCTCGTGCCAAGAGTTAAATGAGAAGATCGATAACTCCCTCACGTCATGCACTGCATTTAATTGGAGCCATGCAGGGGCCAGTTAGCTTAGCTTAGCGTAAAGACTTTAAACAGGGGTGAACAGATTATGCTACCTGCAGCTGTAAAGCTCACTCATTTAACGTGTTTCATCTTTACAAAAACAACAATTTACCGTTTGACGAGGCGTTTTCCCGCTCCCATTTTAATGCTAAGCTAAGCTAACCAGCTGCTAGCTCCAGCTACACACAGTGTTTACCGTACAGTCATGAGTGGTGTCATTCCCATCAAATTTTCGGCAAGAAAGTGAACGCGTGAGTTTACCAAAATGTTCAAACTGCTCCTTCAACATGGTTAGCATTTGCTACCTAAAAGAAATACAAAATGTAGCATGTTAGCTCTGCACTGCAGCAACCCCCAAGTGGTTGCTTTTTTTTCATCCGGCACAAAGGCTGTTTAAGGAAATCTCTATTGGACGCTCTGCCATGATTAAATGATGTGCTTTTCATCACATATGTGTATAATTGATGCATATTCTCTGACACGCTTCGCCCTCCGCGGGCTAACTGAATAAAACCCTGCGTCCGCTGCGATCTGTGGAAACAACATCCTCACAATCTAATCATCTCCCCGCTGGCATGTGAAGCCTTATTGCAGCGTCGGAGGAGAAGGGCACGTTCAAAGCACTCGAGCGGCGCTTTCACGCTGCACTGATGCCGTGTCTAATAGCAGGAGGTGAGCATCGCGCGCCGCTGAGTGGGACCAAAAAACTACATGTCCCAGGGGGCACTTTGGTGTCGGTACAAAGCTACTTCCTGACCTCAGGGCTTTTAGTGTTTGCCATCAAGATGGAGAGCGTTGTTAAAGAGGCCGGCTTGGTTGAAAATGTGAGTTAAGGAAAGCCACCGGTGAAGTGCTCATTGTTGGTGTTATGTCACACTCAGGACTGACTTGTAGCCTTCTGGCAGCTCTCGCACATCTGTTGACACATCTGTGCATCGTTCCAATCCGACCTAATACACACTAAGTCTTCAAAGCGACGCGTCGACACGTCACAAGTGAATATATATCGATAGGTGTTCCTTTCCAAGGAGGTAAATATCACAATTAAAAGCAAAAATAGGCAGGATTCGTGCAGCAGATATTAGTTTTCTTATTTCCCAGCTTGCTAATTATCTTGTGACGCCTGAGGAAAGCAACCGGAGCTCTCTAGGTGGCTTTAAGAATCTGGAACATTAATAACATTAAAGTTACTTACTTATACCTCTTTATTTCGTACCTTGAATTGTTGTCTTCGTTTTAACTGCACAGAAAAGCGAGACTAATAAAAGTAATCAGGACTCCCATACTGCCTTTACTGCCTTTGCATCTGCTGTAAAGGAAATATCTGGAGGAGCTGAGCTGCGTCATTAAAGATGGAAATGAAGCCTCACCATAAAAAATAAAAAAAGACTCTAAAGACCCTCTCCATCTGCTGTGCAGGCCCTCTCTTTGTCTGTTTATCTCAGCAATGTCCGCGTTCCCTTTGCTTTCCTCTCCGACATCACCCGCGGAGGCCTCGTTTTCAATCCGTGACACCCTTTGGGGCAGTTCTGTGGTTCCTCTTGTCCGGTCCCTACAAACACAGATACAATGCGTGTGACCCGGCTGTCACACGGTGAAGCTGCTCCAGCTGCTAATGAACAGCAGATGCAGAGAGCAGAGAGGGCGGCTGCAGGGGCTTCGAGGGTTTCACGTTGGAGATGCCTGACTGTGTTTTTGTGTTGTTGTTGTTGTGTGTTTGCATGTGCTGAGGGTCTTGTGAAAACGGGTAAGTGAAGTCACTGGAGCTATTTAGCACAGCAGGTAGCCTTAATAAGGCTGGTGTACCCTCAGGCTAAGTGGAAAAAGTCCATTTGTGAGTTAGAAAGACTGATTGTCTGTGTGGGAGGTTTTATGTGTAAAAACACCCCGCAGAGGCAAACGTCTGTAACTTTTTGTTTTGTTTACTGTAAAGGCCACATGTATAGAGTCCACATCCATTAATGAGGATGCTTCTCACAAATGGAGCTCAGCACGTTCCTGTGTGAACGCCCTGCAGCACCTCTGAGTATCGTTCTGAAAAAGTGTTTTTTTCGGACGGTGTTGTAGAAATCAATACAGATTTTAACAATGCACGGCTGCCAAGTCTTGTGCTGGACCAGGAACAAGTTAGCAATGTTTGTAATTTCCTTCTTTATATTCACACAGTATGGAGAGTAAAAGCACTTCTAGCAGAACATAGATGATGGCGACCGCACCGATAACCATGAGGACGCTCTTTATTGTGATTATTGGTTAACAGTAAAACAGGGTAAAGAAAAGTGATGTTGTACAGATAGCATCATTTAATTGAGGAGTCAATGTAAGTATCATTTATTGAAGAAAACTAACAGTAATTCACAAGAAATGTAGTGTTTTTATTATATTATGAACATAATGGTTTTTGGCCACTTGGGGGCAGCAGAACCAGCGGAAAACACCAAATTGACATTAACTTGAGATGGTGAATGTGTTAGTTAAACAGTTTCCTATTCGCTCATCTGGCAAACGTGATCTATAATAATACGTCACATTTTATATAAAACCTAATCTGAAAAGTATTAAAGTAGCTCGTCCGAAAGGTGACAGTTTGAAAAATGTACAAAAAAAAACAAAACAAAGTGAAAATATAAGTCATAACGCCATCGTTAGCTTGTAGCATCGTTAGCTTGGAGCTATAGTGTCGATAGTTCTCATATTGAGCACTCTAGCTAGCTAAACTCCACTCTTTAACCCCAAACACTGAGCGACACAATCTTCAATCATGCATGATATCAGCCTATAAATCTCCACGGGGCAACTTTTGTTCGTGCTGCGTTGAGCGGTTTGAGTTTCCTCCTCATCTGGCGAGGAGGGAGCGGTGGGTTTTGATGCCGCAACAAACAACCTCGGTCCCACCCGGCCCCCCCCCCCGCACCCCACCCTGGAGAAGCTGGCTCTCCCTGTGTCTTTGTAGTTATATATAGAGTTTCTCCTGCGAGGCTGTCAGATTGCATTTGTCTGCGTGGTGCGCTCCTTGTTCGCACTTCACACCCTCTAGACTCCGGCTCTCCACACACACACACACACACACACACCGGGCCGTGCGAGATGCCTTGTCCTGCTGAGGTCAGCTGCTGTGTGTGTGTGTGTGTGTGTGTGTGTGTGTGATGGCTGTGAGGGGAAAATGTCAAGCTGCCGGGAAGTCTTTGACATTTGAAAATTGTCTTACTTGTCGACCAATTAGGAAGTCTCTGCCATTATCGGTAATCATTTTCCCATTTGCACCTTTTTTTTGGGAGGGAGGCGTCTACTCTCCTGTGATTTCCTCTGAGAGGTCAGGGGTCATGTCGAGCCAGTCGGGGGGCCTCGCCGTCTGGCTCGAGGACCCTTCAGCAGGGTGCTCAAGTGTCCTCCACCTCTCTCTCTCTCTCTCTCTCTCTCTCTCTCTCCCCCGCTGAGCGGCGTGGCAGCCGGCCACCAATTTGTAGATAAGAGCTCATTTCTCAATAGCACCAGCGGATCAATGCGCCGGGCTCGGGATGCACTTAGGAATGACTGATGGTCGAGGCTATTAGGTGGTCTGCGCCATTACCTGCAGCGAGAATATATGCCCTCTGTAATTGACATGCCGTAGTTATTTAATCAGAGAAAACATGAAGGGCGCCTTCGCTGAAGTGAAGTATCTAGTACCTGAAGAAAGTCACTGTCTTTGTGCTGGAAACAACACCAACTGTTGTTTCCAATACCTCAAAACCTCCTCGACACCAATTCTATCTGTCTGTAGACTCTCGGCATGGTATTTTACTCTCCATGCACACACGATGACACGCTGTTTGAGATGAACAGACGCACCGGAGCCGAAGCTAGATATTAAGTACAAAATAGTTATTTCTGAGCTACGAGGCCAATGTTCAACGTCCCCATCCCCCATGTGAGAGCAGCACATTAGCTTTATTCAATTATTCAATAACCTCTACCATTACTCCCCCCCATCCTGGTTTTGATGTTGTATTGATGGATGGAGGAGGACTGGGATCATCTGCCGCACGCTGGGGGAAGAAAGCTTTTGATCCGTTAAGACGCGCTTAGTGCACGATGGGAACGACGCAAAGTGGAGGGCTAACGATTCCAAACAAGAACTGGAAGCCATTAAACGTACAGCTTGCGTGCCGCGCCGCCACATATATAATGTATCCAGGAATAAATAGAGCGTCACAGCAGTTGTTTTTTTTCTTCTTCCTGATGACAGTTTTCCAACGGGACCGCCCGCTGATATTAAGACACCCGGGGAGTGATGGAGCCCTCCTGGGGAGCTGGAACTGAATGTGGCTGTGTTTATTCCTCTCCCCTTGCTCCATTGTGCATTGTTCAAACCCCTTATTGTTTCAGCATCTAACAAATACAGTATGTAGGCCAACAACACACACACACACACACACACACACACACACACAGTTTAGTCTGTTTCTTTCCCTCTCGCATTTTCCCTTAGGCAGCAGGAAGTTCCTGTAGTCTCCGTCTGTAACAAAACGCACACCCAGCGGGGGGTGGGAAGCAGGCAGCAACTTCCAGACGAGCGCTCCTCTGATTAATACTTTCTCTCTGAATTTCCAGGTACCAGCAGGTGCCCGTGGTGCTGGTGGGTAATAAGGTGGACCTGGAGGAGGAGAGGGAAGTGTCCCCGAGCGAGGGCCAGGCGCTGGCCGAGGATTGGGGCTGCCCCTTCATGGAGACGTCGGCCAAGAGCAAGACCATGGTGGACGAGCTCTTCGCCGAGATCGTGAGGCAGATGGACTTCTGCCCTCTGCCGGACCGGAGAGAGGCCTGCTGCCCCGCCTGCAGCGTGCAGTAGCAGCCTGCTGGAGAGGGGGTGACGGATGGGAGGACGGTCGGCAATTAGAATGCAAATGAATTCATGTTAGATAGATTGAAGATGGAGGGATTTAAAGGGAAAATCCACTCTTTCTGAAACTGTTCAAGCAGTTAAGGCCTGTGCATTCTGGGAAATGTAGGAAATCCCTAACCGATGCAGAAGTAGACAAAGAGGGTTTAGGGGGGAAATAAAGTTCAACGTACATCATTCTTCGGACACAGGGTGGATTTTTCCCTTGAAAGGAAAAAAAGGACAACACTTGACCTCCCACTTTCGTCACCGTCCTCCGGGATAACAGGAGCAAATGTTCAGGGTTTCCCAAAACGCAGCACGGTGCCAAAACCATCTCAAAAGCCATCGACAAAGAGGATCATAGTGCTAAACGCTTTTCGGGAAGCCAGCCATAGTTCCAAGCAGGGATGGCAGTTTGCTCCGCGGTTTCATCGGTCCTCTACTCTTCTGCTTGTGTTTTTCTCTTTTTTTTTGCACTTTTGGGAATTTTTTGTTTTGGACAGTGCAAGGCCGGTCACCAAGTATCTGAACGGATGTCAAGCAACACCACTGTGATGGAGTCGTACTGGAAGTTCAATTTCCACAGCAGGCCCGCCTAAATACGAATGAATGACTAGATGAGAGAATGTTTAAAACAAAAAACAAAAAAAGGGAACCGCACCTTTGGGGTAATTCATTCAGGAGATCCCAAACGTTGACATGCTGTGGATGATGTGTGCATGAAGTTGTACCGTCACACCGACATTGAGTACAATCAACTTCACCCAAAGAGACAGTATCAACCAATCAACTGGTGAAAACAATGAACCGGACACTTGTCTTTACACCTTACAGATCATACAAAATGCCTTGTTACATTGTATGGTGTCAGTGTATAGTTCTTTTATCTTAAAGTCACATCTGATATGTTAGTGGTTCAATGTGAGAAACACTTATTTTCAACAAAAAAATAAATCTTTATGCACAAATGTGTCCTGCGTATTTATTGTTGAATGATGAATGATTTTGTGCGATCGTAAAGGTAAAGAAACCTTTCTTTAAATTGTAAAAGCAGCTCCTCCCGAGTGCCAAATACAACTTTAGAGTTCTCCCTTTTTTTACTTTAACCTCCTGAGGTCATTTGATTGGCGCTCATTGTGAAGCTAGCCTTTCAAGCTTTGCTATTAAGCTGTAATCTGGCTCCACCTCGGCCTGCGTCGAGATGATTTATGATGTTTCGGTCCTGCGGCTGCGTTCCCTGGCCGGGCGTCTCGCTGCTCCAGCTGCTGCCATTAGTGCCAACACTTACTGCTGATTCTGGTCCTGAAAAATCCAACGAGCATTTGTCAAATTCTGAATGCCATTAGAGTCCATTAGAGGATGAAGTTGGGGACATGTGAGACATCAGAGCCAAGATCATAACTTTGGATTGCATCCAATCAGCGTAAGAGCAACAGTCTTTCAATACTTAGGCTACAGAGACTGAGGTAATTCAGAAATGAATTGTCGAGGGACGCCATTAATATCAAAACTTTTGTACAAGTGCCTAAAGAAATATCAAATAAGTATTATACAGAGATGTATTATGTTCTTAGGGTCTGTTGATGAAAATGGTGCTGATGGAGGTTTTATTTTTCTCTCTCTAGCTACAGAATACAAAAAAAGTATTGCAGGGTTTCCTTTACATAAGCCTGATTGAAATGTCGACCAACAGCGACACCTGCTGCTGTAAACTGGAACTGCACGTGGTCCTGGAAAGCTCACACGGACCTTTCCAGTCACTGACTCCAGTTCCTACCCGGACCGAAATGTTCGCTGCACACGGAACATGCATGGCGTCCTTCAAACAGAGGCGCAAGTGACAAACATTTATCAATTTGTATTGTGGATATATAAATATTCTTCACAATGGTGACCAGGACCGCGTGTCAAGCTCTCCAGCGCCGTGAGTAATGTCGACTGGTAGCATTAGCATGTGGGCTAGCTAGGTGGAAATTATAGTTTGCAACTTCATATAATATATAATTAATTTCAGTTAGCAAGCTGCTTGTTTTCGCATTACGTACAAATTAGCGTTACATTATTGTTCAACTCTGAAATACATTTTAAATATTCTAAATATGAGGGTATAATAAGCTAATGATTTCTACTCGTAATGTCGTGTAAGACGTAGTTTATGATTGACAGTATTGTTTTAATTGTGCAAATGCCATTATGCTGACATGAATTATACATTTAAACCAAATGCATATCCTGACTTTTATCTAATATGCTCCAAAAACACTCAAGCCTACACTTCCCATAATGCAACTCAACACAGTTTGTTTGGTTCCTTCTTAGCAACACAGACTTCTTGTTCAAAAATTGTAGTTTTGAGTCCAGATAACCCTGATGACATTGCTGACACCAATAATAAAGTAGTTTCATGACATAAGAGCAGAAGTTAGAAAAAGATGGCGTATCACCCCCACCAGGCTTTGCAACTGCCGCAGCGTGTGTTCCGGCCGCCGAGATCCGCTGCCTGCGCTCTGCCGTCTTCTCCAGAGAGCAGGCCAGGCAGAGAGCGCTGTACCCTCGCGTGGAGAAGATAGAGGTGTCCGTGCAGGGCCCGGGGCTGGATGGCACGATGCTCGTCATGAACAAAGGGATGTCCACTCCGATGAGCTGTGCCAGACGTGAGTGTGGATGCGTGATGAACCTCTGTGGGGAGGCAGGAAACAAGTTTATGAATTAAACCGCAGCCATTTTTGTATACAGCATAATCCACAATCTGTGGAAAACTAGACGTACTGCTACATGTTTCTCCATGGATATATATTTGTTTCGCCCTCTGATGAACTCCTGTGTTTCCTCTCAGACCTGACGGAGCACCACGTGACCAACTCGGCTCTGGCCCTGGTGGACGGGGAGCCGTGGTCTCTCCACCAGCCCCTCACCCAGTCCTGCTCCCTCACTCTGCTCACATTTAAAGACAGTGATCCCACACTGGTCAACCAGGTACTAAACAACAACAAAAAGTATTTAATATGATTTCAGATTGTTCTGGATGTTTTAGGAATGAGCCGGTTCTAATTCTCAGTCCTGTTTGTGTGTAGAGATCCACTGCTAATATGAGTTTGACATCCAGCGTTGTTTCCCCTCAGGCCTATTGGCGTTCCTGCGCTGCCTTGCTCGGCCAGGTGCTGGAGACCGCGTTCAAAGACAACTTTACTGTGGAGCTGCTCAGCACACCAGAGGTGGCAGGTACAGGAGCTTCTCTTTATACACCAGTGACCTGTAGAACGAGCCAAAAACACATCTGCCAGTAACTGTTATTAGATAGAATTTAAAGTCAGTGCAGTAACTTTGCCTGTTCGTGTGGGCTTATTAAACGTAGTTCCTCACCGGTCATTTTCTTCGTTATTGAAACGTACACATTAGACTGAGAGGTGGTGTGGTGCTAATTTGTGTCCATGTCATTTGTTTCCATGCAGTCACTTCAGGTGCTTTCTGCTGCGACGTGGTGCTCGACCCTGAGCTGGACAAATGGACTCCCTCCGAGGTGTGTGTGTGTGTGTGGAGGAATGATTCTTTTATTTGTTGCTTCATGCCTTGGATTACAGAACTCTTGTATCCATAACTGCACCTGATCCTTTGTGCAATGTGTCTGTAAACCATCATGGCTGGTTTTCTCTCCAGGAGTCCTTCCGGTCTCTGACCAGAGAGGCCCAGCACCTCATCCACCAGGACCTGGTCTGGGAGCCTCTGGAGGTGGCGCCCTCTGTGGCGCTGGAGGTCTTCTCACAGAGCAGGTAGACTGGCTTCTTACTGAGCAGCAGTACTTTGTGCCACTGCTAATGTTTTTGTACCTTTTCCTCCCTTCATGCCTCTGTCGTTCTGTCTTCCAGGTGTAAACTGGAAGAGGTGGAACAGAAGGCGGCACAAAACCCCAAAGGCACAGTGACGCTCCACAGGTGAGTCTTCATGCCCACATTTTGGTTTAATCAGTCGGTTACATGTCGCATTGTGCATGTCTAAAGGAGGCCGTGTACTTTATGCATCGCCCGCAGTTCTTTACCGTTTTAATTTTTCTGTAGATGTGATGACCATGTGCTGCTGAGTGCGGGCCCCCTGGTGGCCAGGACAGGCCTGTGCTCCCAGTACGAGGTGACGGCCCTCCACATCCTGGAGCAGGGGCCCCGGGGCCTCCACCGCCGAGCACAAGGCCTCTCCCTGCCTCTGCAGCTGCAGGTGGGGAAGTGTGTGAAAGATGGGGACAAAATGGCACGCAAAGGCAGACATTTTGTGTATTATTTCATCTTTGTACTCGACTAATTTGTAGAAACCTTGATGCTGCATTCTAGTCTGACCGTACCAGTACACATACCTGCAAACTTGTTGCTTTTGAATCAAAATATGTCATCCACGTGAATCGTGTAGGTCCGTAGAGTTATTTTGGGGGGCCAGCGTTTCTCAGATTGGAGTGAGACGAGGAGAAAGGGTGATGTCGTGATCTTCACAATAAAACATCTTTGACGTGACGTGTCAAGTCTTGTCCAATCAGCGTTAAGATGTCTACACCGTCTTCATTAAGGTTTAAGTTCCGTTATGTTCCGTTACAGTTCAGACTTGCTGGGTTACGGTTATAACGCCCCTCTTGATACTCTTGATAAACTACTTTAGCCAGAGTAGATTATCATTTTCATTTAAATAATGGAACTGGATTGAATGCATATTAATTGCAAATAGAAGATAGGCCACAATTCTAACAGCTGTACAGTAACAGTAGAAGTTAATATGAAGCCATACAGTAACAGGGTTCAATGAAAACGAATCACTTTATTTGTACAGACGATGGTTCTCGCTACTCTCGCTGTCTGTGTTGTTATTTGACTAAAACTTATGAAAATAAGACCTCGTCTCGATGGATTTTGTCTAAATAAAGGTTCATAATAATAATAGAGCTGAAATACTGATTAATAACTGAATAATAAATTAGTTTTTTGCTTAAAGTAATTGTCTTATCACTTTATTTTCTTCTCAGAGTACTCCAGAATGCTACATTTTAAAGATCATATTTAAAATAGAATTCTCCCGGGGAGCCCCACGGGGTTTCGGGTGTCACCACCTTCACCTCTTCTGAGTTTGCAGGTATGTTTTATGTCTCCACGTGCCTGCCAGTCACGTTGTCTTCCTCCCTGCAGTCCCACCACACAGTCTGGAGGAAGCTGAGGCAGCGAGCAGAGAAACTGGTAAGAAGAACAAATCTCTTCTGTTTTTACCTCACACACAGACTTCAAAGCTGAAGCGCTGCGGCCAACTCTTGAGACAGCGATCTGGTCTAGATGATGGAAACGCGTCCAAGTTACTGCTCGCTCCACATTATTGTTATTACTGGCTGCAGCCATCATGTCAGATCTCACAAAGTAGCCAGAGGTGAGGAGTTAACGGGGTTATTTTTACTGCTTCTGCATTTATATTTTGGCAAAAAACAGAGCGAGGAGAGGCAGGAAAAAGCAGGTCTCATTCTCCTCATGAAGGACATGAAAGACACAGACACTAACTGGAGATCAAAGGAAGAAGTATTTATAAATCTCTGCAGGTTCAAGGCTCTGATCGTAGACGTGGTACATCGTGACACCGTCTGTCTGAGCGTCACCGAGTGAGACTAAAGAGAAGCTTCAAATTCAAACTAGGCTACGAGTTAATTTTGGATGGACTCATCTCGGCGAAGTGTGTTTTGCTGCAGCCTTTCTGGCATTCTCTCTGCATCACTGATTGCGTAATGAAAATAAAAAACGATGTGCTCATTAATAGACACACTTGATTTGGCAACTGATGACACGCTGTGCTCTGTGGCCTACATTGTATTTTCACATTGTGGAATTAAACAGCGCTTTTTTAACGACAAAAGTTAGACGTGAGAGTTGGATATTTTACACTTTTAAGACGGGGCTGAACGATTTTGAACTGCAGTTATTTTGACTGATCTTGCGATAGGATTCTTGCACCCTTCTTGGAGTAATTCACAAGATGAACTTCATTTGGAACATCACATTTGGAACATCACATTCCCAAAAATGTTCGTGTCTGTATAGTCAGTATTTCATTGGTACGGCAAATATACCGAATATTTACACTTTATGTAGCCGGCTGTAATCGTATTCAGGCGTAACACTGAGCAAGGCCGTGTTATCAGACCGTTAACCAGATTATGTAAACCGGTGAAACAAAGTTAGCCCCTCTGCTTGATTTAAATGCGTTTCCCCTGGATGGTTAGATCCACGTGGACAGAATAACAGAAACCCCTTACCATCCAGTCGTTTGCAGTACCCCTACAACCCTATTTTAACAGACATATTAATAAACCGTCGCACTTTTTAATGCTGCGGCGTTGTAATCCGCTACATGTGAATTTAAAGTGTTATTTTGTGCACCCTCTGTATGTGCTGATGAGGGTTATAAAAGCAGCGAGGCGTGGGCGGAGCGTTTTCTGAGCCGTCTGCAGGCGGCAGGGAAGCGTGTCCCCCGTCTGCCTCCAGCTGGCGCTCCAAACACGGCCGCCCACGCGACAAACGGAGGCCTCCACACCCCTCTGACATCTCTGTAGAAATGGTTCCACTCTAGCAAACCCTCACCGGGTCTAGAGAGGGGACGTCCTCGTTATAAGGATGATAATTAACACGTGTGGCTTTATTTTGCACAGGTTGAGGTGCCGAGACTTGAAGAAGTGGCTCCTCCCTCTCCTCCTGACTCCACTCCACCAGCGAGCAGCCAGTAGCGATCTCTGTGTCGCCTTCCCCTCACACAGTACCACTTTCACATGTACCCGATTGTGTTATTTGTTCAATAAATGTGTAAAAAATACGTGACAAATCACTTCCACGTTTGTCATTCTTATGGAAATCGCCGCACATCGAGGGAACTCCTTTTCCTTGACCCCGTTGTCGAAGGAATCTTGCGTCGTGCGTGTTGAACAACAGATGTTGACGCTCCCAGAGGGGGAGGAGCTGCAGTTTGTAACTGTTCAGATGATTGTAGGAGCGAAGAGGGAAGAAGCGAAAATGGAAACGCGTGTGTGTCAGCAGTTTGCTTAACAACAACAGCGGAGTGAATGCGTGCGCGTCTGTTGGCTGAAGGTCAGGCAGCCGTGCAGCTGTTGAGCGTGTTGCTCATCGAACAGGTGGCTCTCAATCCTCAGAGTTCAGAGTCAAGTGTGTGGAAGTGTGAGCCGGGAGGGACCATCTCTTCAGACGAGCCATATTAATGGCCTCTGTAAAGAATTAGTCAATTATTTATTAAAGGAATAATTCAACATGTTGGGTTATGCACTTACTTGCGGCAAGAAAGTAAACGAGCTCATTTCCCCCAAACTATTCCTTCAACCCCTTTTTATACTGTGTGTGTGTGTGTGTGTGTGTGAGATAGTACAGGTGGCGACAGACAGCTGGTAGTGTTTAAAGACAATTGACCAGCTCCCCCAGATTTCCTCACCCCTCTCTCTTCCCCCTCCTCCCCCAGTTGGACTACAGATCACTGTTTGACATCCGAGCCGCCGCCTCTGCGTGCGTCTTTGGACAAGCGAGAGAGGGATCACAATAAAACCCCATCATGTGCACATTATCCGAGGAGTGTTGAGTAACGGAGGGAACTTTTATTTTGTTTTTCCCTGCGTTTAAGGAGACTCATGGAGGAATGAGCAAAGCCTCGGGCCAGAAAACGTAACCGATGTGCAGCTGTTGCCTCCCCCCCCCACCCCAACACACTGACAACGTGCGAGACACACCCAAGGACATCTGCCTCGGACTTGGAGCACACACCGCCAGCGCCGATTGAGACATTTGAGTCGGTGCCCTGAATTCTAATTTTTACGATGTGCGTTGCTCGGACGTGATTACAGTTGAATAGCTACTAAGAACACTCTGGATCATATGAATTGATGCGTTTCTGTTATTCTCTTCTTCTTTTGCTGAAGAGCTCACGAGGTCAACAGTGGAGTCTTCCCAGTGGTTCCCTCATTTACTGTCTTGAAGGACAGACTGAAAGCAGTGGAAGTGTTTGTCAGGTATCAGTCTGAACACTTGTGTAGTCAATAGTCACTGGGGGGGGGTCATTGACCTGCAGGACTAGGACATCTACCAGCCCTCACAACTCAACATTACCCAGAATGAATAGAAATATCCCTCCAGGCTTCTCTAATGGTACAATTGTGATAATTGATAAAGAAATGCTTTATCCAGAGAACGATCGGCACTGAATACGTGTCTGTTGTTGCTCCCTTCATCTCGTATGTCTTTCATTATCTTTGGGCTGCACTTCTCAAATTCTTGCTTTGAGCGCAGCATCTCGATCCAAAGCTTAACCCTTTAGTTTGTCGTCTTTCTGCTCTACAAAACCGAAGTAGTCTGAATCTCATATTTGATAACGGCAGGATGTTGTTGTTGTATAATTCCACTTTAATCTAATATTTAGAGGACTGTTACAGAAGGCAAGTGGTCTGTTTCTGGTCCATATATAAAATATATCTTATAAAATCAGTTTTTACAACCTGGCAACCTGAAATTGTTTTATTTTGTAACTGTACCAAGACTTACAGAAAAATAAGCTATATTAAATTGTATTGTATTATTATATTATAGAACCCTTTTGGGTCAAACTGGGTCCCACTCGGGCTAAGGTATGACGCGTGCCACACCTTGGTGCCAAACCCAGTGACTCCCGTTATTTGGCAGTGCAGTGCGCGTCTTGGACGCGGCGCTGCGCTCTCGGCGCTCCGCCGCTCTGCTCGTCTGAAAGCACACCCCCGCCCTCCCTCCATCGCCACCTCAGCCAAGCGCCGAAGCCGCTCCACAGGAGAGAGAGAGAGATAAAGAGAGGACGTCCACCCGCGTCTTTCATAGTAACCGAGGCACGTCGTTCCCTGCCAGACTTCTCAGCCAGGGGCACCGGGGTTTTCGGACCGATCAGTCCCGAAAGGTGCGTCCCCGCTCATCCGCTCGCCTCCCAGCAGCTCCGCCGCCGCCGCTCCGCGCCAGTCCGATCCGATCCGATCCGATCGCTTCCCCCTGGAGAAGAGTTCCATCCCTGGAAGCTGGATGAATTATTGGAGAGTTGTGAACAAGTGCGAGAAGAAAGCCGAGGCTCGGGATCTGCCTCCTCGCTCCGTCCAGGGAAGCCTCGACTCAGCCAGAGTTGTGGACGATAATGGAGGGGACGTCCCTGTATCTCCCTGTTGTTATTTTACTGATGCAATGTAAGTGACAAATGGAAACTATTCAATAGTCTATATTTGCGTTTCACCACTTCTCTCTGAGAGACAGCTAGGACTGAGATAAGTTAAGCGCTTTCTAATTATTTATTTTATTCTAACTGGTTGTCCTGGGAAATATACTTTGGGCACAAAGTGTATCATTTAATTAAGTGCACTGGACTTAAAATGTTGTTTTAACAAGAGACTATTTCAAATTACACTTTTTTAAAATAATTAATTCATTTTCATTGAAATTTTAGTGTGCAAATGTTAAAGGTAAATATGCAAAACATAAAGAGATATTTCATTTCATTTATTTATTTTAGACATTTTTCTTTGGTGTTATTCCGTAGTTGCACGGTTTAGTTAAAGCCCTGCTGTGAGAGTGGGCCTTGGCGACTATGCAGCCAAGTTGGCCCTAAAGTTGTATTCGGCGGTGGTGGCAGGTGGGTCCCCACACCCGCCCGTTTTTGGCAGCGAAGGTGGCGGAATCCGTGCATGAGGTCAGCGGTTGGTTCACCACCAGAAACTTTCAAACTGTTTCTGGTCGTGACGAAGTGTGTTGTTCATAGCAGGGATGTGAGGAGGCGTGAACACGAGGAAAGACACCTTTCCCCAGTGTTAGAATAGAAAGCAGTGGAAGTGTCTTTAGGACTCTTGGGGAGCAGCAGCAGTGTGAGATGGATGTGATGAGACAGTGAGAGTGATGCAGATTTTACTCCGTGTTGTCCACATTTCCCCACCTGTCAGGTCACAAGTTCACCGAGGTGTGTGTGTGTGTCCAGTCCAGCTGTGGACAGCCTGACAGAAATCACTCATTATCTGGCGCAGGGATAGGTGTGAACAGTTTGAACAGAGCAGCTTCAAATCTGCCTCCTCTCTACTGACAGCCTGTGGAGTGTATTTGGAAAAAGAAATCCAGGAGGAAGTGTTTTGGGTGGGTCTCTGTGGCGAGAGACCCAACATCCCCCACCTCGACCTCACACTCCCACGTCGTGTCTGCCTGAGACAGCTGTTGCTCACAGGGTTACAGTCATACAGAGAGGCTTTGTTCAAATGGAGAACACACACACACACACACACACACACACAGTCCTCCCTGTTTTTCTCCCCCACAGCCTTGACCCGTGCGTGTGCCGTCCACATGCCCGTTATCTATAACACTCAGCCAGACAGGATACGTCTCCTGGATCGCCCTCTTTTTCCTCTTTGGTTTGTCCTGTTAATTTGAATAAGTGCCTTAATTATGACTGCGCCATGCTTTTGACCTCAACACAGTCCCGGCAACGCCCCCCCCCCCACCCCCCCCAGTCTCTGTAACACTCCGTACGGACCGCGTAATGAGAGTACGGCTGCGTGCCAAGGAGCGAAGCGTGCCATCTTTCTATGGCCGTCCCACTGTGAGTTTGAGCTGTCGCAGTGTTTGCTTGATGTGTTTTTGTCTGTGTTGACGCCTTTGTCTGGATGTTTCTGTGCTTCAGAGCCACAACAGGCCCGTCGCTGGAGCATTTGAATTCCCTCAGTGGATATATATCTGATGCCATGTTGGAGGACCACCGGGGACCCTCTGCTGCTCCAGAGAGCATTTAGAAAGTCGACAATAAGCAATTATCCACTGAGCCAATTTATGTTGACATACATTTAGCTTTCGCTAGCTACTCGGGTGGCCAAAAACTGCTTGGCTCAGCAGCGGCTCGAGTCCGGTACGCCTTGTTTGCTGGACTCACTCTTGATGGGCGACCTCAGAATCTCGGGCCGACTTCAGGTGCCATGTGATGGTCCAAATCTGACTGGAGCGCTGCTAGCCGGAGCTGGTTCCAGGCCCAAATCGGTGTGCACAACCCGACACCTCACCAAATTTGGCTCGCAGTTTCATCCATCGCAGCCAACTGTGCCGACACTCTGATGAGGATATTGGACCAATACTGACTCAGACAGCTGCATCGGGTATAAGTGACAATCATCCGATCTATTCAGCTCCACCAAAGCCCAGATTATCGGTATTGGGACTGTTTGGCAATACAGCCCCAAAAACCCCTCTGAGCTACATGTGTGCAGCAACCCAGAAGAGACATCCAGCACTCAGTGGGTCAACTTGTGCACGCTCGCACACACTCGTCTCCAAACCCGAATCACATCTTCTTGACGATTTCTCGGACAGTATCCGTTTTGTTTTTTTAAATTTAGCAAGGCGACACCACGTTAACATTACCCACCATGCAGCTGTGAAACGATCCGAGCGGGCCATGTGTTCGTTGTCCGCCTCGACGCCTTCGCAGTTAATTGAGGCCATTGAAGCCGACAGTGTTCGTAGTCGTGGAGCACAGTGGAGCGCACGGACACGGGGGGGGTGGTAGTGTGGGGTGGGGGGGGCAGTGGGACCTCACACGCAGAGCCTCTTTGCTCATTTTTCGACGCGTGTGCTTTCGTGTCAGTCAGTGCGGGCGGTGAAGTTGTCAGCCTCACTACATTTCCTTTTTCTCAAAGAGGCGCCCTTCAAGGTGGCAGCAGGGCCGGTCTCACACTGCATGACAAGAGCATCTCCCATTCACAGTCCCTCTGTCACGGAGGATCTCCCTCGCCTTCAATCCCACTCTCTCTTTTATTCATGCTTCTGCAGGTCTCTGGACCCTGCCCCCCTGATCCACCAGCCTCAACCCGCCTCACTCTCCTTCGCTCCACTTCATTTGTATTCTATTAGTAGGGCCGCTCATCTCTCCTTCGACGTTCGTCCCCGTCCCCTTTTTTTAATCTCATTGTATCGCCCTCCGTCGTCTTGGTCATCCTTTAGTGAGACAACGCTCCTCAGAGGGTGTCGAGGTACCGGAGCCAAGGCCGGGATGATAATCCTGTTACACTGCCGCAAGTCAACGCATGGCAAAAAAGCGAGGGGGAAAGAGGGGAGCGTCTGCAGGGAGAGTGTGCTGTTTTAATTCACTTAGCTGAAAGTAAGTGAGGCTGGTGTAAATTGAGCCAACTTCAGGAAAGAAGCTTTATGCTGCATTTGGCAGATGGCATTATTATTGTATAGGCTGTTGTTTATTTAAAGGCTAATTTAAAAATAGCCATAAATAAGAGAGAGACCTTTGGGTGGGCTCACAAGCGCCAGTTTGAATAGTCGTCCTACACGGCCTGTTCTCTTCCACGCTTCCTGCTTTTATCTCGGATCGCCCTCCGTTCTTCCGTGTGACCCCTCCCTTCACAGGAAGACAGGCTTCTGCTCCGCATAGTAACCCCGTAACAATGGGACCTGCACAGGAAGCAACTGACACACAGGAAACTGGTCACATTCATTTCAGACGACGTGTTTTTAAGTTTACATTTGGGAGATTTTAATCTGCTGTTTGCAGAAACAATGGCAGGAAAAGTACGTGTGTGTGTGTGTGTGTGTGTGTGTTTTGTTAAAAGGTATAAAGCTTGTGAAGGGGAAATCTTCGTTAAACTAAATTAAAAGTTTTTAAGAGGTTTTTCGCAGTTAGGACCCTTGAGGCCCATTTAACATTTATTATGTACTTTGAAAGATGCATGGCCTTCAGTCAAAACGTCTTTTCCCCCTTTTACTGAAGTCTCAGTCTTCTGGGAGACGTTCTAGGCTTTAGTGCAGCAGCAGAGAGTGTTTACTGCTCTCGCCGGTTGCATGTTTCCGACTTGTTTTTCCCCTCCAGCTGATCTTCACCCAGGTTGAACCTGTATTTAACAACAGGATGACCAGGGAGTAATCCACCCCGTAAACCAATCGGAGCACAGGAAGGGGCAGCTCTTGCTCCCTCTTCCTCTTCCTGTTTGGACACTGGGTATCGGTGACACACAGACAGGCAGGGGGAACAAACATGGACAGTGTGCCGCCGGCCTCTTAGCTAATACCCGCCCCACACACCCCCCCCCCCCCCCCCCCCCCCCTTCAAAATCCCCCCCCCCCCCCCCCCCCCCCACGCCGTTCATCAGGTTAATCTGGACAAGCCTCTGGTGAGATGCCTGACCTTGTCCTAACCTGCGCGTTGGTAAACACACGGCGGGCCGCTCCTTAAAGCGGAGGAGGGAATAATCCTGCCTGTACCTCGGAGCTCACGGAGAAAGACGATGGCTGCCTCAGACAGTCGACCAAAGGCAGCCATTAAGCATTCTCCTCCTGCAGTTGGCGGGCAATGTGAAGCACTCTACCCAATTCACCTTGCCCCCATGGATGACGAGCGATATTGCCTTCCGAAGTGCTCTGACCCCTCTTTTTCTTTTATCTCTCCCTCCCTCCCTCCCCTCTTCTTCTCCTCCCGACCTCCAGGTTCCCCCTCCGTTCCCGTCACCGTGTCGACCGACAAACACAGGGTGGAGGTGCACGAGTTCTCAGGTGAGGCGGAGAAAGCGGCCTCGTCACTTTCTTTTTTTACCCTCAAGAGAGTTTACTGCTTTATCAGATTCTCTCTGACAGAATAAACCACCAGGCTAAAAATAGAGCAAGCAGTTAAAAACACCACTGATTGAAGGCTCCGCTACTCTGCCATAAATATCTCATCGGTTCCCCCTTTTCTTTGCAGACGCGGTGCTGTCCTGCACGTTCCGCACGGAGAAAGACCAGAACCCGCGCATCGAGTGGAAGAAGAAGGGGAAAGATGTGTCTTTCGTGTACTTTGATGGACACTTCAGAGGTGAGAAAAGCAGCCTTTGTTCTTCATCCCCCCGAGCGACAAAGAGGACATTTGTTGTAATCGGCTTGCGGCATACTTGGATACTGTGAGATGGGAACAATGAACTCTAAGAGATATTGAAGCACAGTCCATGTGTCGATGCTGTCGAGGCATACGACGCCCGTCTGGTGTCCTTGATCCCTCTCCTTTGTGGTTTAGGATGTGGATTTAATGGGTCAAAGAAATAATAAATCATACATCAGCTTCCACCAAGTCAGTCTCTTTTATAGACAGCGCATGTTAGCGTGACGATTTTCTCAAATATGTCAAGCCGCCTCTTCCCTGGCAGCTCTACGTCACAGCAGAAGTTCATGAAAATTCATGCCACTGAAACCTCCTCTTCCACCCACTGGCTGATGATCCCATTAGGGGGCCGTTACGTGATGTAAATGTACCCTGAAGCTTCCAAGTTCTACTAATTACAGAGTAAACTGGGGCTTTAATGCTCCCTGAGGTCTGGGGTCCGTGGTACAGGTGCTTTGAGGTTCGTAACCAGTTCAGAGTAACTTCTTACCTTAATGTCCCAACCTGTGCTGCTCCCAGCACAGATACATCTGCGCTCCCCGCAGCTGCTTCTCAGTAAAAGACAACCACTTCTCTTTGCATGGGAGGCTTTCACTGTGAAGCAGCTGTTGAGTTTACATCACACAAAAATAATTCTCTTTTTGTAGCCAGTTCAATGTGATTATATACTGGTCTGAACCTTGCTTTGTTGGGATCTGAATGTCGTGTCTCATACTGAGGTGGCAGTATCGTAGCAGGCAAGACGTTTCCTCCGGGATCTTCCTGACCTCCTGTCCTTTCTCTCAGGTCCCTTTGAGGACCGCGCGACGATCGACGGGGCCACCGTCACGCTGAAAGGGGTGACCCAGGAGGACGCCGGGGAGTACCGCTGTGAGATCAGCGCTCCTCTGGACACCGTGAACCTGGGCGAGACCAACGTCACGCTCAAAGTCCTGGGTACGACGGAAAGAGAAACTGAGCTCAGACGTGTGGGAGATTTGTTTGCTTTGCTTATGTTTCTGTAATTCTTTCCCCGTCCCGTCCAGTGCCCCCACACACCCCGTCCTGCGAAATCCCCAGTGGGGCAGTGACAGGCTCAGTGGTGCAGCTGCGCTGTAGGGACCAGCAGAGCATCCCGCCCGCTACATACTCCTGGTTCAAGGACAACCTGCCGTTCTACCAGCCACGCCACGCCAACGCCACTTATCTGATCAACTCCCACACAGGACTACTGGTGAGTGTGTGTGTGTGCAGATAAGGGAGCGTGTGTAAATAGTTTACACTGTCTCCTTGCAGTATCACGTCCTACTGAAGGAAGCGAGTAAATGATTCTGTTGGTTTGATAGTAGGTGGCTTTTCTGAGTCTTGCTCAAGGACACTTCAGCAGAACAGGTCCTTCGATGTAAAGCGAACAGCAGCTGAAGCCTTTTCTTCTTCTTCCCTCTTCTGCAGGAGTTTAAAGCTGTAGCTAAAGAGGACACCGGTCGATACAGCTGCCTGGCTTCGAACGGAGTGGGACCGCCCAAGATGTGCGAGGGCAAGCACATGACGATAGGTGTGTGTGTGTGTGTGTGTGTGCGCGTGTGTGTGTGTGTTTCCACACATCCTCCTGCCTCTTCCACACACCTTTCAGCACTGGAGAGCATCAGGGATGCAGTGGAGAGGAAAGGCCGACTTTTTCACCCTGCTTCTAAAATCTGAAACACCCTTACAGAGCAACTTAGAATTTGAAGAGGCTACTGTGTCTATTTAGGGACAAATGACACGGTCGAATGTATTCTTCCTGCTTATGAATTATATAATCTACTCTAGATTAGGGCAAGCAACCATTTCACGCGCTTAATAAATTATAGGCAGTGTTGTTGGAGGACAGGAAAAGGCATTAGACGGTGTTACTTTAAAATACGTCCTTCCTGTTTATGTTAGGAGTTCATACATTCCCCATCTTCTGTGACTTACTGCGTCAATAAAACAAAAAGGAGAGAGCTGCGTATGGAAAAGAGACCGTAACTCAAGCTTTGCTCCCCCTCTCGCCTCCAGAGGACGTCAACGTCTCGGCCGTGGTGGCGGCGGTGTTGGTGGTCTGCCTCGTGGTCACGGTCTGCGGATGCGGGGGATACCTCTTGCACCGCAACGGCTTCTTCAGCCGTGAGTTTGTCTCTTTGGTTCAGCTGTTTGGGTCCAGCGACCGCTCGTGTCTTGCTTGCATCAGAACTCTGACACTCCCTCTGTTTCCTCCTACATGCTTGTCACTCATCCATCAGCAGGACACAGAGGAAGGTAAGAGCTCTGTGATTGCATTAACATTGATGTGAACGAACACAGGCTAATACCCTACCACACTTCAGATTGCAGGAGGAGGAGGAGGAGGAGGAGGAGGGGGAGGCTTGTTGTTGCACTTAGACTGTGCGTCTGTGTGCTGAGTCAGGACTGTCTAGAGTGACAGCTGTGTGTGTGTGTGTGTGTGTGTGTGTGTTTGAGCCACAGCAGTGCCTGTGTTCCTACTCACCCGGTGATTGGTGCCAACAGATGTAAAAAAACAAAACACTCCAAACTTTTTTTTTTTTTAATTGATTGTGACCTGTGGCCTAATTCGCCGGACTCCGTGTTATTTGATTACACGGAGTAATCGCGGAGCTCCGCTTGATGCTTGATGCGAAAGCTCTTTTGTCTCGGTTAAAGTCTGATGCTTATCCCACTGAGCTAACTGGAGCTGTCACTGTCAACGTCCTATTTATAGAAGCGGCTTCTTCACAAAGACTCGGAGGCAATGTGACACGATATCTGATGCACCAATAGTACGCACAAAGTTAACAAAGTGGGGACGCAGAGCCACCATTTACAGCCGCCTTCTAGGGAACAAATGGTTAGATTCATGTTATATCATAATAAATATACCTCCTTACATATCTCTTCATGGAAACGGCAGAAGTAAAAATAGATCAGTGTACATTTAAATACGCTGTATGTATATCAAATGTCAAAAACACATACCCAGTTACAATAAGTGGGTTTAATGTCTCGCTCACTTCCACAGCTGTAACACAAACAGTAGACCAGCGTCTCGTAGTATTCACACAGTGTGTACAAGGGTGTTGGATTGCTGCATGTGATTGGCTCACCACTTGACCCGCTCACCACTTGACCCGCTCACCCGATTGGCTGCATGTCAGTGTAGCCGCGGTCGTGTAGATCACTTCCGTATCCTAAATGTGTGTATTCAGGGTCGTTGGGTTTGTGTTTGCTGCATGTTGTGACGGGAAACTTTACAGGCAACGAGTAGCAACTAGAAACTAGATATTAGCTCACAATAAACCCCCAATATACACATTTTCAATACAGAACTGATCTGCACAAATCAAAAATTCCGACCGCATGGTGTGCAGTGTCACTCCGAAATGCCCCCCTCCCCTCTTGTTAACCCTTTTTAAAGCCAACACGCTGACCCCCACAGGTCATTTTGGATCTCCCAGTGTCACGGTGCAGCCCACATCAGCAGCCAAACCCTGCACAGAACCGAGGACACGTGAGTGTGACCCGCAGGCCCACAGATGGTCGTCATTTTACAATATCCCAACGCTGTGAATTCAGTAATGTTCATTTTCAAAATGAAGTTTGAGATGTTGTAAAACACGTTGCCAGTGTATTGTGTACGTCAAGATCAAACGAATGCAGTCCAGCACAAACACCAGAAGCGTCTCTCTGTGTAATGCACAACACAACCCGCATCCCACAGAATGACCATCAAGTTGATGCAACACATTGCTAAAGCAGTTTCAACAAAGAAAACAAAAACCCACTATAACCTTCACGTAAGTCAGATTTATTCCCCGGGCTGTTTGCGTCGGACTGCATTACGTTTAGCGAGGTGTCCCCAATAAACCGGCGACTGAGTGCGTATCGCCCGTTAATCAAACTGCCCGGTCACGTGCTGAGCTGGGAATATCCCCCCCCCTCTTCGTATAATCCTGCTCGGCGGCTGAGAGTTCAGAGTCGGACCCAGTGGGAGGTTTGCCGTGTACTGTATGATGTGCATTATTTATGCAGGGCAAGATATGACTCAGAATACAGCTGTCCGCCTCCAGTGCCTTCTCTTCTCCGTGACTGTGTCAAACTGTCCGATGTGCTTACCCGTGTCTTTGTCTTTCAGGTCCAATGTCAACTACGTCCCTCCGCCCCAAGAAGTAAGTCCTTTTTTTTCTTCCTTTCCCCTCTTCCTCCCTCCCCCCTTCCTCTCTCTCCCTCTCATATTAAGCCCTGAGTGGGGACCATGAGCAAAGCGCTGACTTAAGCACGAGCTGTTCATACTTACCTAATGAATGTTGCTGTGTTCATGATTGAAACCACACCGCCGTCACCTCCAGAGCCATAATTCTGATACTTCTGTTGTTGTTGTCGTCGTGTCCCTCAGCCCCAGGACTTCAAACACACCCAGTCCTTCATGCTCTGAGCAGCCGGCCTTCCCTCCGAGAACACATCAGCCTCGTGACAAAGGTGCCAAACATCAGGATTCTCTGATTTCTGTTCTGGACTCTGAATGAGCTCTTGATCTTCCAACACAATCTTCTCCCTCTATCACCCCTCTCGGGCGGCAAGAAAAGCCGCGCAAGGCTTCTTCTCTTGCTCTCTTGCTCTGCGCTGTGTGGCTTCGCCTCAGTCACTGATGTTTTCTGCTCTTTTTGGGATGAAGTGCGTTCTCACGGTGTTCTGCTCCCCCCTGGTGGTCAGATGTTGAAAATCCAATCGCTCTTTTCTGAATGATCCGGTGACTAGTGGAGCTTTCTCCAGACTCTGTTTCTTCCCTCTGCAGGCCACTCGTTTTCACTCCCTTTGTTTGTTTTTTTTTACCAAAGACTGACCATTAAATTAAAGGGATTTAGTGACTTTGAATCATCACAAGGGAATTGTGCTTTAAGCCATAGAGAAAGCATTAATACCACTCAAACATTTACCTCAACACCTGCCAATGTTCTGTGGCCCCTGGGACCCCCAGTGTTAGAGGAGATCCGTATGATCTTAGTGACAACATAAAACCATGGATGTATTATATAATACATCCATGCATGAAACCAGACAAAGCCAGTCCAGGAAAACAGGAAGCCACTCCAGCCAATTCTATTGAGACCAACCCCATTCCACCCTAATGTGCCTGCATGGTCTTTTTATATATACACACACACACACACACATATATATAAATATAGATATATACCTTGTGCCTTTTTAATTTGTCATATTTATCTATGGATCACACTTTTTTGTAAAGAACTTGCCTTACTTTTCTCTGTCTTTATATTGTTGTGCCACTGTTTCTCAATGTTTATGGAACTGGAGTGTCTGTGTGTGAATGGGTTGTTCAGAGTTTTATTTGAATGGTGTATATGGAATAAAATGTTTTTCTATTCAAAAACAGGCTGGCTGTTATTATTGTGATCACAATAACAGTGATGGAAAGTAAAGTGCGTTTACTCAAGTGCTGCACTTAGAGATCAGTTTGACGGACTTTTACTTCACTCCACTATTATGATACGATAACTTTTTCTATTACCGTGCAGATTCAGATTAATGATACAATATCCAGTCAACAGAATCTATTTCTATAGAAAATAGTAAAACCACAGTTCAGAAATAGTGAGGTGAAACTCTTGCATTCAAAATCTAAAGTAAAAATACATTATTAGCACCAAGATTTACTTAAAGTACCAAAAGTACTCATTATACAGAATATTATTATATTATTATATATTATAGCATGTCGAAGAATTGATAAAATAGCATGTCTAAAAAAAAGAAATGAAAAAACTGAAAAAAATCATAATACATGCATGTCTAAAAAACTCTGGAGGAGTCTTCGGGTTTGTATCAATTCTCCACTCTCCTGTGTTAATGCTGACTCTATAACTATACATTGTGTAGAGGTGTATTATCGTTGAATGGTTTCTATCTACAGTCAGCTGTGTTGCATGTCAAGTGCTTTTATTTCTCACACTTTTTAGATGTGTGGCCTCAATGGCGTCTGGGGAGAAGTTATAAAAGACATCTCTGAGCTGAAGCTCTGAGGTAGGATTGTTTCTTCATTACCTGTGATTTACAATTCACTAGAATATCATCTTTGATCTGCAGAATATCTGAAGCTGAGATTACAGCCAATTAAAGGAGCTCAATTTCTTCTTTGTTTTTTTTAGACTAGACACGAGGTGGTGGTGACGGAGCAGCAGACTTGATGGAGACGAGGTCTTCAAGGTGAGGAGAGCCGGACCCGTCTGTAAAAAGCTGGAAACTGCAGCAGTCAAATGGCATGATGCTTTTATTTGAATTATTGATTGTCTGTGATTTGTTTGCTCTGCGTCTGTGTGCTCTTTTAGAGGAGCAGCTGGAGAACCTCAGGGAGGCTCATCAGAGATCCAAGACAGAGGAAGCTGGACCAGCTCAAGGTAAGGGAACACCTGTCAATCAAAATGCTGCTGTTTTAGTAAGTACGGTAAAAATTGGATTACAGTATGTTAAAAAAAAAAAAAAAGTCATAAAACAGTCATAGCATGTCGAAAAATTCATAAAACATGTCATAAAAAAACATTAAGTCATAGTATAGTATGTCATAAAAATATAGTATACATGCAATACAAATATTAAAATATCGTTCAAAATATCCTAGAAATGTATGTCATGTTAAAGTACAGTATGTCATATTTTAATATATCATCAAAAATATTAGTGTAGTTTGCTAGAAAAAGTCATAAAATGTCATTTTGTAGTATAATATAGATGTTCATTCAAAGTATTTTAAAAAGTCACAGTATAGCTTGTCAGAAAAATGTACTAATAAAGTTTGCACTCATGAAAACGTATTTATTGTTGCAGTAGTAATAATAATACATGTATGTGATGCATTTTCTAATGTTGTCCTTCTCTTCTTCTCTCCTCAGCTGAGTGCAGACTTTCCAGACCAGACCTGAGGATGACGGGGTTTCTTCTCTTCACTGCACAGCAGCAGAAGAAGAAGACGTGGGTCTTCTTCTGCTGCTGTGCGGTTACTCTGAGATCTAAATGAGTGGATCAAATTTTGCTGTGCAGCTAAATTTTTAATAAAACCATTTCCATAACCCTCCGTTCATTTCTCTGAAGAAATGTGATATGTAATAAAATGTAGGGATTAAAGAGATTAAAGCCTTTAGGTGAGAAGAATAAGCCTCACTTATGTCAAGTCGTACATCTTCATAGAGTATTTAACTTCCTCATCTTGGGTGTTGGACCTTAAAATTCACCGCGCCACGGGATGGAACCCACAACCTCCAGACTCCTGATCAGTCCTCTATCACCCTGAGCCATCGGATCTGACACGCTGAGCTGCTGCAGCGTCACACATTCACTCTTCTCTGTGAAGCGCCTTCAGTTTTGTTGTTAGTGTTTCAAATGTGTGGAGGAAACAGACTGGACCTTCCTGAAACACAGTTAGGGTTTCATCCTTTCACCTCATGTTGTCACGCATCACTAGTGTCAGCACTTTCACTCAAAAATCATAAATCACAACATCAGGGGCAGCTTAAATGTACAATATACAGGATTTGGTGCATTAATATAGCAACAGACAGCAGTTTGCCATATAAAGACATCGGTTCGTAATGTCTCAAGTGGAGAATGTGTGTTGTTACCGTGCTTTGGCTAACTGATGACCGCCGCCCTACACTGCTCTCATAAACACAACTTACTGACAACACAGCCGTGGAAGCGAAGCACCCACCCTACGGTTAGCGCTGTTAGCACAGTAACAGCCGTCGGCCATGTTGAGAGTCGTTCAGAGGCAATAGATAAACTCCAAATCTCATACCAAGTACCTTTAGTTGACAACCAGTGTATCATGGTTCAATCATTATCTTTTTATTAAATACAACATATGTGTGACATGTAGGAGATGTACAACATGGACAGCATTCACTTGGCCGCTTCTTCAAGCTTGGGCTCTGGAAAACAACAAAGAGAATCATTAGTGATAGTTGTTGGTTAGAGTTTTGAAATGAGACATATCGCAGCTGTACAACACATTACAAATACTGGAAATTAGATTTAAAATCGAGACCACTAGCTCGATCTAGATCCAACAATACAGTGAAGCTCTAATGAAAGCTTCGTCCTGCTTTGACAAGTGTCACTATGTGCTATATATAGACACAGACAAAGCCCCATTACAGCGAGCCTCTCTAGTGGCAAAGGAATAAATATGTATGAGAGGGAACTGTTAAATAGTGTGCAAGCAAGAAATCTCTGAATGTCACGTATTTAAAAACAGTCAAGTCATTTTAAGAACATCTTATTGGAATTTCACAGCTGTGGCTGATCACAATTCAGGATTTTACCCACTCACTCACGGTACACAATGTAAACCAAAAGCCCAAACTGACCTGTGAAATGGATATCGGGGAACTTGGCGAGGTCTCCTCCGCCGTAGAGCCTCTGCAGTTTGGTTACCTCGTCGGTCACGTTCTTCTGGTAAGCTGGTCCGGCTTCCACAATGCCACCCGAAGACCTGGGTGAGCCAAGGCATCAAATAGTGTTCAATAGATGAGCGTGACAGCGATGATGGAGGAGATGTAAATTTTTTAAGGCTAAACTCTGAGCTTCTATCTTTTAGGGATGCAGCAAGAGAACGACTCATTAAGATGTGGTTGGTATGTTGTGGATGTTGAGCTCCTCGCTGCCTCATCCCTTGCTCAAAGGTCGCAACTGTTATGCCGGAGTCGTGTCCAGCCAGTGGCTTCTTCAGCGAATATGCTGCTGGTTACTGCTGTCTGAGATCGACCGCAAATGACCTGACACAATATATAGCCAGCGCAAAATTGATGCAACACAGGGGATAAAAATCGTCTACTGCCATCTGCGAATGTACCTTATTTGCCGATGGCAGCCAACATGGCGAATATCGACAAAACGAGTCACCCCTACTGTCCTTATATCTGGACTCTTATCCGTCCAACCTCACACAAAGTATGGACATGACATGTGGGTATATGACAAGAGTTATACATCGGCTACTGACTTGCTCTTGGTTTTGTAGTCCCGGATCTTGTCCAAGAACAGCTTCTGGATCGGGTCGAGCTCCTTGGCCCGGTTGAAGAGGACCGCAGAGAGACCGATGTTCCTGCGCAGGGTCAGGCTCACGGCGGAGCGCAGCGCGGAGGACAGCTGGAATAAACGGTGTAGCGCCATCTGAAGGAACAAGAAAGCCCACACGGTCACGTTGTTATCTGGACAACGAGCTGTGCGTTGGTTAGCTGGAGCAAATAACCATTAAGCGCTAGCATTGCTAACGTTCAATTAGCTGCTGTTGTACCTAGCTAACTATAGCTGAATGACTTTGAATTGACTAACATTAGTTACATACTTTACAGGTGCCACGTTATATTGTTACTTATAATACTTAAACAACTATTTAGTTGCGTCTCAACACCATCGTGCAAAGTCGGGTTCATTCTAGCAGCAAGCTAAAGATCTTGTGTTTGCTTCAATCACACTTAACTGCTAACACCTGCTAATGCTAACATGCTAAGATAGCTTTAGCTTTCAAGTGTCCTCCGTCGTCTGCAGTAAGCCATGCTAAAGTAACACTCACTAAAGATGAGGACATGTATTCGTCAGTATGTACAGTTATGACAAATAGGGCACAGTTACATGTTTAATTGCATTTGTTTTAAAACTCAGAAAACGCTACTCACCTTGGGTTTGACACTTTCAGTACAAGATCCAAGTGTGGATGGATGACCGCGGTGGATTGTGGGAGTGTTGTGGAATTCGTGGACGTCAACATGGCGCCACCTTTGCGCAGCGCTGCGCATATGTAGGTTGACCTCACATAACACCAAATTATCCCAAATCGACCAAAGCGGAATATGCAAATAAAAACCATTGAATTTAAATAATTGTTTTACAACATCTGTTGCAGATTGACTTGTGATAATCACACCAGAAGGCACAGTGTAGTATGGGCATTTTATTAACCTCTGGAACACAATCTTCTACTTTCTCCACTGCAATTGTTATCCCGGACATGTTACTTTTACTGTATATAATTTCGCCATGGGCAAGGTCAGGCGCCCCAAATCGAGTAATTAGGGGTTTGGCACCTTGCTCAGGGGCACATCGGCAGGATAGGATAGTCAAGTGGATTGCAGTCTTCCCCCTGATCTCAAGAGTGTGGATGTGGTCCACCTAAATCATAGATTTGACTTCAGTTTAATGCAAAGTAATTTAACTTTTGGTAAGAATACCTAGGTTCATGTGTCATGAAGCCCTCCGATGTGTCCTTGAGCAACACACTGAATCCCGGTCAGCTCCAGTGTGCAGTTTTATGTCTGAGACTGACCTCTCCTCTCCTTCAGAGTATCATTTTTCACATCGACACCTTTCCATTTATTAATACCAACGATCTAGACGCCAAATTATTAGAATAAAACACAGTGTGCGTTAAACATCAAAAACACAAAGACACAGCAGCTGTATGTACATTCAAAACTTTATTATGGAATACAGTGTAGAAAGCGGTTTCCCAGTCAATGCAAATGGCCTGCACAATATTACACAGTGGAAAACGAAACCAATATATAACCCACAGAAAAAAAAGATAGAAAGAAAATCCTGCTCCCTCTTCTACTCTACTGCCCTCTGTTGGGCTTCTAATGAGCACACTCTGAAAACCAAGGACCCACCCCACTGCAGCCTCCATATGAACACCATTTCCTCACAGATCTTACTCGCCATTATTCACAGAGTGAGAGGTGACTATTTCTTTCCATGTACTGTTGGTATGGTGACAAACCATTAACATGAGCTGACTGAATGAAGATGAACGGGAGACTCATATTTCATCCCTGCTTTCACATCCCTGCCCCTGACTCGCTTGCAGCTCTCTCAATGGTGAACGCCTACCATCTATATACAGGCACTGCCTCCGAGGAGTCAAGTGTGCGTTGATGGCGGAGAGGTGAGCAGCATGCCTGGAGGGAAAGGAAGGCAAAGGAGGGAGGGGAAAGGAGGTGCTGGGGAGGGAAAATCCATTATATACACAGGCTGGCTGGCTATCCATCTGGAACTGCAAGTCATTTCCTCTCTACCTTGCCCTCTTTCCTCCTCCTCTCAGCACTCCACTTGTTCTACCAGCAAAATGATTACCAAACCAAAAAATAGACTGCGTCGGCTTACAACTGGACGAAACACCAGACTGAGAATGACAAAACATACACGCAGAGATAATCCTAACCCATCCCCCATGCCGGATGCCTCACATTTTTTTCTTTCCCTTCCCCGCTCCCTGTAACCTTCACGCCCACAACCTGCCCTTTTCCAGAAACAAAGCAACATGAAATCAACAAAAAAAAAAAGCAAAAATAATAGATATATTTATATATAAGGGGGTGATTTCTGAGAGCCCCTATGCATGAGGATTTTTAACACAATATATTTCAGTGAATGAGAATAATATACAAACAGAGATGAAGCCAGCCCCCCTCCTGTAGCTTCAGGAACGTAGCATGGTTTATAAAAGAAAAGAAAAGAAAGAAAAGACATGAGGAACACACTTAAAGTCCAAAATCACAGATCTCTTTTAAATGTGTATTTTACATGATATCAAAGCAGAGCCCGTTCATCTAGATTTATATATATTTTTTTCCATTGTTTGAAGTCACGTGATCACGAGAAGATACTAAATGTACAATCTTGCTAGAATGACAATCTATACGTGAGGAAGGATCTCAAGAGAGCAGCGTTAAGATCTTGGTTGGTTTTTTTTTTTTGTGGTTTTTTTCTCCAAATCCTGTTGTCATTGTTGTCATGCACTACATAGGAACAGCTAAGACTTCAGCATTACTTCAGTAACATTACACGCAATTTAAAAAAAGGACTTTACATCGGTTGACTTTTTTTTTTTTTCTCCTCCGTTTTCATTCTTTTTTGAAAAACAAAACCTTGAAACGAAAAGAGAAAAAACTCGAAAATAAAAACAGCTCATTCAGAATACATAATTATTACCGTCGTCATCAACATATTATCATCAGCATCTCCAAATATCCTTAAGAGCCTTGTGTGACTTAACACAGCCCAGCTATCGTAAGAATGCCGAAAGAAAAGAGGATGGAGGGGAAGGATGGAGGAGGGAGGGAGGGAGGGAGGGGGGGGGGGGGGGGGGGGGGGGGGGCCGGGCTAGGGGGGGGGGGGGGGGAGGGGGGGGGGGGGGTACTCCAGTGTAGACTGTAGAGTGAGTGCAGTAGTGGTGCAGTTAGTGGGGAAACAATGGACTTCATTTAGAAAAATAAATGTGCCTGATTTAAGCCTACTTTCATCATATAATCATTACAAAGAATATGATAGAAACAAATGAATACGTCCAAAGTTTGAATAATGATTTCTGCAACCAATTTTTGTAAATGAGGCCCAGGGTCAGCGTGCGCCTAAAATCCCACTGATCAGCGGTCAGATTTGCCTACACAAGTCCACACCTAAAACTGTCCCACGCCCAAAAATAATCCCGACTATGCACTGGCCCTGAATCAGCGTGGAGAGAAAGCGCTTCTTTCCCCGGAGAGAGGGTTTGTTTCAAAGCGCTGGGCGGGGCCTTTTTTCTCTTTCCGTACGTCAGCAGGCCCAGACGGAGCAGCGAGTAAAAACGCCTTTCTTTAATTAAAAGGCGTCTCGCTCCGATAAAGTGAACAGACATGGTGCAAACTGGCTCGGCCACAGTGTCCGCCCAGGCAGAAATGAAAGAAAACCCTGGCTACAGTCGCTCCAGCATGGTCGTAACTGACTGTTTCAGTCACTCAATGATCTAAGACACACTGCCTTGTGGAGACATGGGGCTATTCGAGGAGGGGGTGGGGGTGGGGGGGGGTTGGGAAGGAAAGGGGGGGGGTTGATGTGTGGGAGGAGATGTCTGTGTACATGTGACAGTCTCCTCAGTTCTGCATCTGCTCGAAGAACTTGTAGGTCGGGTTCTCGTAGCCGTTCTGCTGCATCTTAGACAGGTGGCGCTCCTCGGGTGTGACGGCAGCGTCCACCTGGAGGGGAGCCAGAGAGAGAGGGCGGGGGGAGGTCACACACACACACACACACACAGTGTGTACAAATGTAAAGAATCTACATTTTAAGACCTTTTTAATGCCTCCTGGAAGAGTAATCGGCAAAAATAAAGAAACACGGCTGCCATAACCACCACATTTTTTTTAATTAAACGGCTAATGGAAGTTCTGAGTGATAAATGAGGATAATTAGAAAAAAAGAGGCAGGAAATGAATTGTTAACTGGCATTAATCCCATCAAATTTAGTGAGCAGAGTGTACAATACCATCCCAACTCGACATTTTTAAGCCTTTTTTTCAGACTCTGACAACACCTCATCCACAAATACCCACGTTCAATACTGACGAGCAGCTTGCACTCACACGTGCATGCATGTCACACACCAGATTGACGGGCGTCTAGAACAGCTTGTGCACACACACACACACACAACCACACGGGGGGGTCACCTCAATGACTCCGTGGTGGATGGAGGTGTACTGCTTCTTCCTCAGCATCACCAAGGTGATGACGATCACGGTTGCTATGACGACGCCTCCAACCATCAGGCCGATGATGGCGCCCTTGTTGGAGCCCACGTCCTCGGCGAAGAAGACCTGCGGGGAGTTGAAGGACAGGTAGTTTGTCACGTGACCGATCGGAACCAGCGGGATGGTTTTTTTCATGGACTTTCAATGCACACCAAGGACTCTCATTGTGCACCATGCACATTATGTGCACGTGAAACTGCTGAGTAATGAGTGTGCTTTCAGCACAGCAGGCCTGAGAGTTAATTGTGCTTAGATGGTTTGCATGTTACTTCTCCCAGAGATCCAATGTGCTTTTAGTCGCTGCGTCTACTTTCATTCCACCATCTTTGAATATCACTGACGGAGGAGAATGCGGCTGACATTCAGAGTTACAGCCCATTTACTCCTGTTTTCGTCTACCCAAAGCGTTTTGCAGCGCATGCTGTGCATAATTACCAGTACATTTCCGAAAATGTACCTGTTTTTGTCATTAGAGAGGCATATTTAGCTCGAAAACAACTGCTGGGGAACAAAGACGCAACACATAAGAGCGCATCGACAGTCTGTAAGGCGACTTGTTTTTGAGGGTTTTTTTTTTTCCTGGTGGAGAATTTTGGCCGTCAGGTGATGTACAGAAAGCAGAGCATAAAGAGACACTGATGCAGTATGACTCAGCTCCAACACAATACTAACACACGTGATTAAAAAATAAAAACAAGCAAGGATTACGCTGCTCTGTGGAAATAAATGGAAGCAAATGGCGGCTTCAGAAGGGAGGAAAGCAACTCCTGATAACTCCACCTATGCTGACGCCAGCAGGGATAATGGGACGGAAACCTTCTCCACCACCACTAAACTGCAGATAATCTTACAACACACAGCTTGACTTGGAAACACGGCTACCTCTGCTCGTGTCAAACACTGCAGCGAGTGTGGACTTAATTTCAGGCTGGCGAGCCTCCTCCAGATTAATCCTGCAGAACGCTGATTGGGGGTTACGGTGAATATCAAATGAAGGAGTTGACTCAAAGAGGCAGCCTGACACACTGGCTGCTCATTGTGAATGCAAGAAATGTGATATGTAATAAAATGTAGGGATTAAAGAGATTAAAGCCTTTAGGTGAGAAGAATAAGGTACGCGGATTTGGATTTGACAGAGGACGGATTGAGGTTTTTGTGCTGCTATTACAATACTGGATGAGATTAATGAATGAATGCAGAACTGGGTTAGAGCCTGGTAACGTTTTTAGCACCTGTGGGTGACCAGAAAAATACATGCACAACTAAACTTAACTCAGATCAGAGGAATTTAGAGAGGAGCAGAAGTGTGACGCACCTTTGTGTGTACTTATGGAAAAAAGAGGGCAGAGTGCAAGCCTGCAATGTGTCAGTGAATTCACCTTCATGCTTGTGTGTCCTTGTCTCTGTTTAGTCTGCAGATACAAATGGATCGGTGAATATCAAATGAGCTTGCTCTCCGTTTGTTTGTTTACCAGTTTCTGGTGGTGAACTTCGTATTCGGTGCTCTGCCTGTCCTCGGTCTCCATCCGCAGCTCAGGAACAGCTTCCATCTTCATTCCAGTCACTGGCAAAGGGAAGGAAAAGGACCATCTATTATGGATGGTGACACTCAGCCGCTTTCCCCTTCTCAAACTCACTTGATAAAGCGGGACGGACAGCGGCATGAATTGAATACAGCACATATATAGCACAGCATTAACAGCACAGTATAGACTCTGCATTAACAACCCCAGCTAACGCCTTAATGGAGGTCAAGTGGAGTTGGCTGTGTGCAAACAATGGCGGAGAGATAATGGAAAAATACTGTGCTGACTTTATTGCAAGTCTGTACTTCAAAGCAACCTTTAAGAGGAGACATTACTTAACCAGAAGAAATATTTTATATTATTAGCCTGAAAGCTACTTTAGCGTAGCAATAATTGTGAAAGTTAACATGCAACTTTAGCCATGATCTGAAGCAGTGTACAATAAACTTTTTGGACAACAGTACCAACCTGGCCGTGTGGGAATGCCTCTGTCAAGACTGGGGCGAGACTCAACTGGCTCAACTAGAGAGAAAGAAAGAGAGAGCAAATACATTTTGGGTGTTTTTTTGTCAACTTTGAACCAAAATGTAACCGACAACCCGGTGCTTCAGGAAGTACCCTGGTTCTCAGTGTTGGGCTGGTTGAAGCTCTCAGGGTGGACGAAGCCGACTCCCCCCAGGCTAAGTGTGCCCTCCTGGGTCAGCAGGTCGGTCTGGCCGTCCCCCATCTCCTGGTCGGGCATCAGGGCGTCGTTGCCGTAGCTCACCCTCACGTCCGTCTGCAGGTTGGCCAGCTGCTGGGCCATCTCCATCTGCTCCTTCTGCAGAAGCTCTGGACGGAGGCATGAAGGAAGGAAGGACAGAGGTCAGAGGACACAAGTGAAGCGGAAGTAGACAGAGGGAAGGAAGGACGTTTCACTTCATTTATCAAACTTCTTGTATCTTATCAGTTAGTTTCACCATAAAATGCTCCCTATGGTGAAAATATGACAAACGAAAGAATAAAGAAACGTACAAGCGTTTCTATTTCTGCTTAAAGAAAATATTTTATCCCATGCAAGGACCCAACTGTTGCTCAATCAGGAGGGACAGACAGCCTCCGAGAAATGTTATAGAACATGGTGCTTTTTCTTCTGTGTATGTTTGTTCCTGTGTGTGTTTTGCCGAGGCAGCACAGACTGTGACCGTCTCCGAGACAGAGACACAGATGGCTGCGTGACGCACTCAACTCTCATAAACCCAAAAACCCCACAGAAACCTAGCGAATGCAGAAGCGGGAGAGAGGGAGGGGATTTATCTTCCTGGCGAACAGTTTCATTTGACTCCGAACAGAAGAATTAGGCCAAATCCCTCCCGTGCCCTTATCAACAAAAAAATTGCATTTTTGGGGGAGCTGGTATTTGGAGCATTCAATCTCTCCACAACATGTAGCACAATCAGGACACTGCGTCTTCTAATATATCTTTCTCATGCCAGGGTCAACAGTCACATTTGTATTGTCTTGTCTCTCTACCGACACCGCTCTCTCAGCTAAAACCACCTTTCCATCTTTCTCTTAGTTTCTACTATGAATTGGATTCTATTTTTATGTATAAGTCATGTTTTAGAGTGAAAAACGAGTGTCTTAATTGTCACAAACTCACCAACTTGGTCCTGGATGTCGTCGGCCACACCGGGCACCTTGTAGAGAAGTCCCAGAGACTGGTTCATACGCTCCTCAATGACACGCAGGTGGGTCAGCACCTTTTATACACACATAGACATAAGTAAATACAAAGCTGCATCAGCCTCTTCATAAAAAAACAACATCATTTACATGTCAAATGATAAGGCTACCTGAGGTCTGATCTGCGCGGCCTTCTTGGGATCCACCATGCGGACGTGTTCAAAGTGTTTGAGGGTGTGCTGCCTGTCCTTCTGCTCCGCACGCACATACTTCTTCAACAGGCTGAAGACGTGGCGAGGCTGCAAAAGACGATGACGGATGGTTAGGAGCGGAGGAAGGACGGGGCGATACGTTTATATACAGGGTGGATCAGAAAAACAAAATGTGCAAAACACAATCCAAATCCAGTCAGTGTTACATAGACGCAAAGGACAAACTAAGCAGAACACAAACTTTATGAATATTCATGTTTTGTAGCAGGTCAAATCAAATCAGAACAAGCCCACCAATCATCTGCTGAACTGTGTTTATATAGCGTACCCTGGGTGGGTCCTGCTGCAGCGCCGTCAGGTAGCTCTCCAGAGCCAGGCGGCGGCGGTCATTCAGCAGAGCCTCCACCCGGGCCATGTGGGTCTCCACCAGCTGCTGCCGCTCGCTGGCCGCCTCCTGCTCCAGCGCCTCCACCTTCTCCTGGAAACGCTGCACACATTGCAACATATAGGCAACATGTTTCACAAACAACCGTCGGGCGGTTTGATGCATGTCCTGTATGTGCATGTATTAACCTGGATGACGGCCTTCTTGTCTGCACGGGGAAGATTCTTAGCTTCCCTCTCGGCCTCCTCCCACTCTCTCATCACCTGGGTACAACAAATTGAATGCAACTTGTCAACCTACTGTATCTCTGCACATGTGCTGCCCACAGGTTGATTTTACACTTGAGTGAAACATCTTTGCTCTTTTCACAGCTGTCTAAATGGTAGAAAATTTGACATTTTACATGGCTTTGACATCTGGGCTGCAGTGGGGGGAAAATATCAGCTCCTTCCGGTCTGTGTAAATAATCCTTTCTGATTGAAAATGTTGAAATGGTGGAGTGTCTGCTTTTCAAATCACAAGGGGATTTACGTGCCAGGTGAAAGTGCAGCGTGACGAAGACAGCAGAAGTCCCAAATCGACAGTTTCTGTTCCCTTTTTGGTCAGCTCCGTCCGCTCTGACTCACTGGGTGAATTCTTTAGTTCAACCCAGGCCTTTACCAAACACATGACCTCAAGAGTATCTGTAAGGATGAAGTGAACTGTGTGGAATCCGATGATACTGCGGCTGTAGCTACCCACGCAAGAAAAGCTATCTAGAGCGGTGCACAGACTCTGGCAAAAGAAAGGAAAACAGCACTTTTAGAGCCACTAGGTTGTTATTGCTGCTGTCTGGAGCTTTGAAACTGTGACATTGCTGTGGACCATCTGGCTCTCTGCCGGAGCGCGAGCCGGTTGATTAAAGAACACAATTAAAGCTGAATTGGCTCGGTCGGCTTACCCGGGAGGGATTAAAAGAAAAACGCACCTATTCGTTTTTACTTGACACACCCTTTCTCCCTCCTTTTTCAATTCATGGGGAAAACCAATCTTTGTCCTCTCTCTGAAACAAAGAAAATCCACCTCTGTTCTGCCTGCTCAGCCACCGTCACGGATTCATGTGTTCACAGTGACTGCTGATGAGCTTTCAGTCTGCTGAACTGAAACATCAACATCAAAAACATAAAATCCTCCCTCCTCATTTATTCCTTTCCTTCCTTCCTTCCTTCCTTGCTCTCCCCTCTCCGTCAGTACCTGGGACATCCTCTCGCGGTGCTTGGCCTCCAGGCTCTCTTTGGCCTTCTGGAAGTGGGCGTGTTCGTTTTCATCAGCAGGCGTCTCCAGGTAGTGGTCCACGGCGTCGGGGGAGCTGGGCGTGGCTGTGGGTACTGCATGGAATGGAAGTAGAGGGAGAGAAAGAGGAGGCAGGAGGATGAAAACACTTCATCTTTTTACTGCACGCTTTTATTTGGATGATCTGGGGACTGGCTCCGTGTTTTGAAAACACAAAGCCTGAAATGGGTTAATAGGGTTAGTGTGAGATCGGGAGAGAAGGAAGATGAGATAGCAGCTGTAGCTGGAAGCCAGCACCCTCCAAAAAGCAATCAAATGAATGCTTCAGATGACCCGTAGTCTTTTGTAGAATAGAGACAAAACCCATCTTTAACTTATATAACTTCATTCAGAGCGTGATGCGGCTCACATGCCAAAAACACCGACGCTGGAATGCATCCTCTGGGCTCAAAAGCAGGGACTGGATTTTGGTCGACTTAGCAGCAAGAAACAGAAATGGACCACATAAAGCGTGAAACCTGGATTTAAATCCGTGGAAAGTTGATTATCTTCCACAAGTATGCTATCACAAGTGGTTGGTGGTACGTGGGTGATTCTGTGTGTGTGTGTGTTATGCGTGAAGGTCACACGTCATGTGAAATCGGTTATGTCTGATGAGAGCGCATGACTGCACAAGACACAACAACAACGGAGAGATGTTATTCACTTTGACCTAAGCCGAGTGCTTTTGTTGTGCTCCATTCCTCAAAATCATTGAAGGATCAGTTCTCCTCAATTAAGATTTCTCACTTACCTCCAGTGGCATCATGCAGATAGTTTGGTTATTTAAGGGGTTTAGAGAGAATTAGTTCAATTAAGTACAACTTGTGTCCTTGTTACTCTGGATAATCCCCCAAATACACTCAATGGTTTTTTATTTGTGTGTTTTGTCGTGGGGGAAATAAGACACTGCGGCAGTTTTGCACCTCCACTATACTCAGCGGAGCAGACATCCCCAAACCTAAGCACGCATGCACACACACTATCACACCTAAACACACACCGTGGATACAATTAGATCACAATATAGGGAGATGGAGATAGCATGACTCCATTTTGCTGCGGGGCAGATCGTGCACTTCCTGTCTGAGATGCGGACACACGCGCGCACACACACACGCGCATATATCAAGCGAGGTCACTGAACCTTACACAACACTAGAATCAGCATCAGAGCCAAACACTTAAACCGCCTTCCGCTCCCCATCTACAACACAAAACTCCCCTCTGTGCACAACACACACACACACACACACAGTAATGAAAAAAAAAAAAAACAAAGCCAGAAGGTTGGCAATCCAAGACTGAGCAACTATTTGAGATCAAATCACTTCCCTTTGTGACTGAATGATCACGTCTGGCTCATCAGCAAGTGGCGAGAAATACTTGTCCTTTTCAAAGCCTTCGCCTTTAAGAAACGCCTAAAGGCCAAATATAGCAACACGGTGTGAAAACCATCACGCAATCGTCCTTATTTTCAGCCTCGCCACCGATAATCAATCATCACAATGTGACGCAGTGTGCAGGAGTATAATGACGCATTGATGAGTATTTCCTTACCGCTACCGAGTGAACGTTTTGCATTTTTCAAAATTGCAGCAGGGTAATTTGACATCTGATTGAAGCGGATGTAATGAATTAACCAGAACAATAATGTGAGCCTGCAACACGTCAGCCATGTAAAGGACAAGGTGCAGCGAGGTGAAGATTATCGCTAAATAATTCCTGCATGGATGGTGTTAAAACTCATATTCACGTTAAAGAAATAGTTTATGCCCATGAAACGACTGTACTCATGGAAAAGACAGAGGATGCTCTATAGGACAACAACGCTGTACCCATGGCTAGAAGATTCTAGCGTGTCATTAAGCCTTTAACGCAAACTGTCCATGAAAATTAATCCTCTGTTTCGAAGCGCTGTAGTTGGAGCGTGTAGTTTTTGGTGCCACGTTTCACGACTTAATCCTAATGGAAACCAATAAATGCAACTTATTCTAAAATATCAAACCTCGTCACAGAGGATTCAGAGAAGCCATGTTGTAATACAGGATTTCTTTACATGTCTCCAGCTCTCGAAACAAAACTCGGTCCAGTGGTCCAAACTGAAATGTACTGCAAAATGGAAATGCCTCACAAATAGAAGGAAAGCAGCAACAAACTGAGCCGAGTGCGACAGTGAAGGGAACAGGCAGCGTACAGACGATCAGGTCGGTGACGTTAAGGATCCACGAGGGATTAGTCTGTTTTTAGTGCAAACACATTTATTTGTGACAGACACGGAGAGACGGCAGCGGGGAAAAGGTTAGCTAGGAAGGGAGCGTTTAGAAGAGAAGCACGCCGAGCAAGAAACTTCTGAGCATCTGGCGGCTTGGAAAGACGAGGGTGAGAGACAAACCCGGCTGCTGGGCGAGGGTTTGCCGCTGTCGGGCGGGACTTACTGACACTGCTGCAGACAGACAGGCAGTACTCCTCTGAGTCAAAGTTATTCCTGTTGCCTCCGCAGCCGCCGTAGATAAACTGAGCACAGCGGCCCTCCTCGTGGTCAAAGTACCAGCGGGACAGCATGGCCCGGCACGGACCGGTCTCTGCATTGGCCCAGCACACATCTTGGAGGACACACACACACACACACACACACACACACACACGCACGTCGTCGTCACTCACAAAGCAGTACATGGCCACAAAAGGCTCTTCAGCTCACCAGACACCATGTAAGTGCCTCATTTGTGGAGCTGTGTGAAAAATTGTCTCGTCTGTTCACTTGTAAAATATGCCACTTAAATCCAGGGACCTATCAAAATAAAATGCTTTATGTCACATACAGCAGCATGTGAAGAAAGCCAGGTTTCAATTTACAAATTTAACAATAAAGAAACAAAGGCGGAACAAGCAGTTCTGACTCTAATGGAACGTAGCTAATGAACGCTGTGGGATGATAGATGAGCACAATAAGAAAAATGACAGCCGGGAAATTAATTGCTGGGGAACACGAAGTTCAATTGTGTTTAGCAAAGCATAAAGAATTGAGAGAGAAGCACGTTTTTTTAATGTTGTACAACTAAGCTTGTTCCACACTAATCTAAATGAAAAGAAACCCGTCCTCTGATTAAAGGGACAGTTCACCCCAAAATCAAAAATACATCCTCTTCCCTCTAGTGCTATTCATCCATCTACATTGTTTTGTTTAAATCGCTTTGGACTACGATAATGGGACTATATGGTACTCGGCTTGTGGTGCTCAAGTGCCCCAAACATATTTTCTTTCATGACCCAGTAATCCACAGACCTCGTTGTGAGCAGTTTCATGTAGGAACTAGTTTCTTTCTATTGAACTACACCCAACAACCGCATCACTGCGCAGTAGGAAGTATGCAGCTACTACCATCTACGTAGATAAATAGCACTGCAGGTACGATTGATTTGGGGTGAACTGTCCCTTTAAAAGAAGACCTCCAGATAACCCGATTATGAAAACATAAAGCGGGGTCTATTTATAACAGAAGACGAGAACCAAAACTAGACACGCGTAAGAACTGCTCCTCACCCCTGACGACCTCTTCCACAGACTCGGTGGTGGTGGTAGTGGTGGTGGTTGTCATGGCAACATTGGTGGTGGGCTCGTCGGCGTCATCGCCATCGTCGAGCGTGTCGACGATATCGTCGTCGTCTCCCTCCTCCTCCTCCTCTTCCTCCACCTCATCCTCCTCTCCGTCTCCATCCTGGTCGTTGTCCAGCACGTCCTCTTCCTCCTCCTCTTCATCGTCATTTTCCTCAGCCACATCCTCCTCCTCTTCCTCCTCTTCCACGTCCTCCTCTACCACAGATGGTCTGGCTTCCTCTTGCTGCTCCGCTGGCTCTGGCTCCCGCAGCATACTGGGAGGGAAGCAGGGATGGAGAGAAGAGGGGAGAAAGGGGAGGGAGGGAAAGGGAGTAAGGGGACATATGGAGAAAACAAGAGCAAATGGGTGGGGGGGAGGAGAGGTGAGAGAGAGAGAGGGATGAGGAAATAAGGAAGGCAAAGAGGATGAATGTAAAGGAGGGAAGGACAAAGACTTTAAATTACAACCAACCTGCAGTTTTACTTCAAAGGAGAGAAATACATCCTCATGGCAAAGGTTGAAAATGAAAGTGGCAGTATCTCATCTGAGCGCTGATGTATTACTCCGCTGCTGCCTCATTTATCCGTGTATGCGATTGTGTGTGTGTGTACCTGTTGTCGGAGTAATCAGTCTCCGCTCCACCCCACCAGACATCGGAATCATCAGCGTCCTGCTCGGCGCTGTCGGCGTCGCGCTCGGCCTCAGCGGGACAGCACACAAACTCCACTCCTCGGAAACGGTCGATGCCGCACGGCAAAAGCATCCCATAGTCGTGGAGATTCATGGTCCTGTCTCCGCAAGACTGCGCAGACACAGGACGAGAAAGACACACACACACACACACACACACACACACACACACGGGCAGAAGAATCAGATCAGTAACTGTCCCTGCTAGTCGTTGCAGCAGCGTTGGTATAGGCGTGTGCTCACCTCCTTGGCCACGGTGTGCCAGTGCAGGTGGCTCTCACACTGGTCCATGCGCTCCTGGTGCAAGAACTTGCACTTGTCAGGAACGAGCAGGGCGTCGCTCACAAACTCTCCCACTGCAGCAAAAAAAAAACCCAACATCCATATTTATAATTCATACACAATGGGCAGCTTCAGCCCTTTTGATTGACTGAAGACACATTTCGACCAACACTGATGGCTCCCGTAGAGCATAACTGGCTCCCAACTCCTCGTCTGTAGTAAACACATATGTGGGACTCACCCAGGCAGCGGTAGGGCACCACGATGTGGATGTGACTGCGACACTGCTTGCGTCCCTTCTTGCACCAGTTCTGGATGCTGATTGGCTGGTTGGCCTCCACCACATTGGTAATCTGGAGCTCTGGGTACACCTACACACACACACACAGTATTATATTTATCGTAAACGAGACGAAGCTGAATTTTTTGTTTGTTGCATTGCAGCTTTCCCGGTCTCTGCTTGGCAGACTCGACTGTGTTTACCTCCATGTTCCTCTCAGCCAAATGCATGACATCTTTATCGCGACACCCCCTCCTACGTTTTCTCTCCTCTAATGCCTCTCCAAATGCAGAGGAAAATCATAGTAATTCCATATCATAAAATTCCATTCTTGGTTTCTTGACACTCGCATGTCACCTCTTCTATTTAGGCTGTGTTGCATGTGTTACGTTCGGTTAGCTTTCACGCCGCCGAATTAAAAGCCATCCAGAGCATTTAAAGGGAAGTCACATGGACTTAAGCAGCTTGTTTACTGAGCCGAGTTCCGGCATCATGTCATCCTGCCAAATTGGGGATTTTGGTGAATAAAAACAAATCTGCTTGCAGTTCCTGCTTCCCACTCATGATGGACTTCTGTGCTCTTATATTCTCTCAAACCAGCAACAACAAATTCCTCCGCTCTAATATCCTCAGCAGTTTGTGCTTTGGGTTAGTTGCATTGGTTTTGGTACCACCTCTGTTTGAAAATTGTTCTCACTCGCCCAAACATACCAAAAAATTAAACTGCTAGAAAAGGAAAATGAAGATCGTCTAATCCTGCTTGATGCACTGCTACCCGCTCAATCGGTGTAATTTGCCGAGAGACTCAGCTTGATTGCTAAAATGTCAATTATCAGACCCAAAACATCCAACTAAAATGCCATGACTGTAAAAGTTTATCGTCTAGGCTTATTGCACACTCAAAACAAAACAAACACTGGGCAATTACAGTTTAAGTATTTCATATATCGCAGCATACGTGGCCAAATGAGAGCCGTTTTCAAGGCATGTCGCGCACTAAAGATGATTTCAAATGGTCTGAAATGACTTCTCTAACCCCTGCTGCAACCTAAACGACACTGCCGTTTTACCGTCACACTATTACTGTTTGTTCAATACTATCTGACATTCACCTTTTCTACACCCCAGAATCATATCAGCTTTAAAGGGTGGATGAATATGATCCTGTAGTATCAGGCTTAATTAATTCCACGGGGGAAATAAACAAGTTAGACCACTCCCAACACTTTACCTCCTGGCAGTACTGCAGGATGCCCTCCTTGGTGCCGATGCAGCTCTTGGTGCCCGAGGGGTCCGGCTCCCACTTGCCGCTTTGCACGTTGATGTGCATGTTGAGTTTGCCGCAAAACATGGCCACCTGGGGCTCTGCCAACAGACCCATAGAAATATCTGTAGGCACCTAGGGGTGGGGGGGGGAGAGACAGGCAAGGGAGAGATTTAATGAGATGTACCGCTCATGTCTTCTGGAGCACTTGCGCTGAAAAATGCAAGACGGATGCAATTAAATTTCATTACTCAGATAGAGGGGGAGGAGAGGAGATTAGCGTGTTAGATGAAAAGTAAGATGAGGTAAGCTGGTTTCAGGAGAGAGAGAGAGAGAGAGAGAGAGAGAGAGAGAGAGAGAGAGAGAAGCCAAAGATGAGGTGTTGGCGAGAGGAGCCCAGGAACAAATTCTCCTCCTCTCCCGATTCTATTCACATTGTGGGTTTCATTTCTGTGCCCCTATAATGAAACTCTTAACAGTGCTAGCATCACGTTCAAGGCCTCGGTTCATGTTTGCCATCGGGTGTGCAAAAGATCTCACTGAAAGATGCTGGGAGAACAGGGCACAAAAAAGGGATGGACATCAAAAATCAATAGCTTTGGACGAATAAATTGCCTCAAACAACAGGCCTGGAGCAATCCAACACACCCTCTGTTTATGACGTCCACGCACAGGCACACACACACCCACTCAACCTCCATGTGCAATGCCATTTATGGGAAGAGTGTACATCTCTGTGCCCATGCTGGCTTTCTCATAGATGGTACAGTGTTTATATAACCCTCTGTTGATTCATTTTGGGTTTGTTTCACAGAGAGCAAGCTGCCTGCAGGCAAGGGGAGGGTGTGTGAGCAAACATGTGTGTGCGCGACAGAGAAAAGCCCGCCTTTGGCATGAATGTATTAATTGCTGTGTTAATTTCTGTGTTGGTTTGTGCATCTGCGTGTGCGTGTGCCATTGCTGTCTGCCTGCATAAGGAGGTTTTGTGCTCCCTTAGGAGAGGAGGTGCAGACAAACCGCTGAATGTCTGCATTGTACTGGCAAATGAGCTAGAACAAAATGGGAGGGAATACAGGAGGGGGGGCGAAAAGAGAAGTAGAGAGAGAGAGGGACTGTCGCCATTGTGTGCTCCCTAATCTTGTTAATGGTTTTGAAGGCCCTGGCAGGCAAACAAATGTTGTTTTGTGAGATGGATAGCATATTTTTTCCTCCAGACTTCATTCTCTCCAAACAGCCGGGGGCATAAAGTCCTCATCCAATCTGAGAACAGCTAAAGAGGGGGGGGGGGGCATCGATGTAGCTCAATTTGAAGTTGAAAACTCAAGTGTTTGGATCGATTTAGCGGGCATGTATCTGGTGCATCGGGGGAAAGATAAACTCTGCCAGCTTTCATTATATTGAATTTAAAGATATTGACAGAATTTACTCACTTGGTACAGTCAGCGTTCTCTGGCTATTATACATTTTGGAGTGCACTTAATATTTTGTACAGCCTCCATAAGTGAAACTGTTGGCGGGGGTTGCGACAGCTGCAAAATATCAATTATATTCACAAACTGAGAATCTTTTCTATTACAAATTAGTGTGTCTGTCATTTAACAAATTTTCTACTTTTAAGAACGTTCATTAATCTGCTTCGATGAGCTAATGGTTCACATTTTGTCACGTAAACACAGGCTTTGTTGTCATGCATTCTAAACAGCTGATATGGAGCATATGATCCCTCAATAACATCCTCTAAAGATCACAGATCAGCTCACACGTCCACGGGTCGTACATGCACCAGCAAAGTTTGCAGGTCAACATGCGGTAGCAGGGAAATCAGTAAATCCCTCCTCGGCTCTAACACATGGCAACTTAACACTGGTGGCAATCAGCGTTGACACCGGGCCATCTGCACCTCGTGGGGTTATTTAGAGGTTTTGCAGCTCGATTCCCACACTACCATCTGTGAGTGAGGAGTGCCCGCGGGGGAGCAGATCCGATCCCGTCCCGCTCATTAACAGTTAAACCCAAGGGCCAAGTGGGAGCGGAAAGTTTTCAAATCTTTAAAAAAAAAAAAAAGAAAGTTGTGTGTGCTCTCTTTTAATTAATTAACTTTCCCGGTGCCCGGTTTCATTTTGACCTTATCCGCTCACCCTCTGGCCTCTCTCTGTCGTTTATTGAAAGAGATAAACCAACTTCCTCTCTGCTCGAGGCACAGGTAGTTAAATCGGAGCCAACTGCTCGCTGACATTCTAATTCTTTGTGTCGTCCTCTTTTGGCTGGCAAATCATATCCTTGCCAATCGCTCCTTCTTCTCCTTCCTGCGTCTCAGCCTTTCCACTGCTATCTCTCCACCGCTCTGTCTTCTTCTGAAGGAGGAGGGGGAAGAGGGGGGGGGGGGGGGGAAATCAGCCAAGCCTTCGCTGCAAGCTTATAAATCAGAGTCCCAGGATGGTGGCGGAGGCAGGGGCAGGAGGAGAAAGTGAGAGGAAGAACAATAACCACAATGGCGAGAGACGGGGAGAGATTGGAGAACAGATGAATTGGACAATAAGCCTTCGGGCTCGAGCAGAAGGTCAAGCGCTCTGTGAAACCGAAAGAATGATAGGGATGGAGGGCCAGGGACGGAGAGGGAGGCTGATGGAAAATCACGGAAAGGAAGTAAATGGGAAAAGATTGGTAATTCTGGTGTCAGAAAGAGGAATTTGTTAGTAGAAAAGAACGAGTGCGTCTCCGCTCAGTTCAGCTCAGTGCCGGCTTCGTCAACATTTCCCAAAAGATTCTCAGTGGCAGCAACGCCACTGATTATACTGTGTGCAGAAATAATCACTGCAATCACGACGGGAGAAAAGATAAGACCGGTGAGAGGAAATGGCTTCTTTTTCTTCAATGCTGGGAAGCTAGAATCTACCCTGAGCGAGCAACAGATGGACTCAAAGAAAAGCCAGACTGACAAACGGTGAGACACGTCGGCGGCAGAGTGGTAGACAAATGTATATTGCAAGAGGAGACACCAGGCTTCCCTCTTCTCCTCCTCTCTCTGTCTTTATCCTAGCTCAGCCCTGGTTCACATTACTGCCAGTCTACCAGCCATTCATCCTGCAGGGAGGGGAAGCAGCAGTAATCTGGGCACTGAGGATTAGCACGGCAGCCTGGTCAGGAGAAATATCCCCCTTTGGTCTCAATCTGGCATGATAGCCATCGCCGGAACGACGGGGAGTAAGCTAAGGGGAGAGGAGGCTGATGCTCCATCAGATTGACCCCTGAGTCAATTAAGAACCCCCCCTGTCACATATTGCTTGGTGTGCTACTTCTCCCCCAGCACCAATTACAAGGGATGCAAATAAAACCCTGATCCATTAAAAATGTTCTCCAGCTTCTTGCCGCTCTTATTAATCATACTAACACGTGGGGTTGACAAAAAAAGGAGAGCAAAAAGTTGCAGTGGAGAAAAGCTGGCAAAGCCCGAACAAATTCCACCATAAAAATAATTTAAGGAGGGTAAGATTCATGCCGGTGTTTTGCTGCGCTACTTGCAAAAAAACGGGGCAAAATCGAGTCAGTCACGGAAAGAGAATACAGACTTAAGCTACTGGGCCTGCTGACCCATATGGGACCACAAAATTAAGTTGCAAATAGCCCGTGTCCAAGTTGTTAAAGCGTGGCATGCCATGATGGCTTTTAAACTACACAAAGCGTTCAATGTCCTCATAATAATTTGAGGTTGAAATGGAATTAGTTTTCCCCCCTGAGGGAGGCTCATAGAAGGAAAACAGACACAAAAAACACACAAAACAGACAAACCGACAATCTAATAATGTAATGCAATAACATCCAAGTTTGTAGTACTAAAGCGATTAAAGTCAGATTATTTGCTACTGCAATTTGATAGAGTGGTTCGCTACTCCAACTCAAAATATTCAGCCAGAAAAATCCTTTATCGTCTGAATTTCTGCCCCTCACCTCTCAAAGGAGAGAACATTCTCATCGATCAATGCAGCTGCGCAGCACTCCCCGTGTGTAGGAGTTTGTAAGACACAATAACTCTTCTTCTCCCTTTATGTAAATTGCACCACCATTCCCATCTCACAGTCATTTTGCAAAGGGACTGTAAAATGTGCTGATATGTGTGAATGAGCCCGCTTACTGCTGGCGCCCCTCACAGATGAGATCGGCGGCACTAAAGAGCAGGAGGAAGATGTTTATTACCCATTAAATGTAAATGGGGGGGTTGTCAGAAAGAGAAATATTGCATCAAACGCTTACAAACTGCAAATATATCCAGTCTACACACACACACACACACAATCTTTGAAGTGTCCCCCCATGGGCGCTGGTCCTGCGGTGCTATTAATTGTGCAGTCTTATCTGAGTGGTCCAGGCCTGCCATGGGGAGTTGGAGGGAAGGTGGTGGGGTGTGTCTTAGATCATCTCTCATCCCACGGGGGGTCTCCCCCGGAGAGCGAGATGTGTCGCAGGAGCCACACACACACACACACACACACACACACACACACACACTTTTGGCTAAGTCCAAGCTAGCAGCTAACAAGACAGGGCTCTATTGTCTGGGCTGGGACACACCGAGCTACAAGATAATGTCAACTGGTGGCACGGTGGTGTGTGACTCAGACACACAATCACTACGTCGACGAGACAGAGAAGCATCTCCTCCCGCGAGTGGCAGTAACACAATGCAAATAAGGCCTTTATTGTGTTATCGCTGGCAGCCCTTAAACATTTACGAGCGGGATAACGTGTTATGCGACACAGCAAACTTATATTGCCTCGGTCTGGGTCATTAATCAATCAATCGCGGTGGAATCGAGCACCGGGCCGGCTGTCTGCGGGTTGTTTACAAGACGCGTCGCAGTGGGGAATTTGTTTGCTTAGCTTGGGGAGGATGTGTGACGGTGGAATTCGATAAGACTGGCGAGCAGGCCCTGCTGTTACTTAAAACCTTCAGATCGTCTTTGACTGGACTTAAAGTGAGACTGCAATGCTATCCCACTCTGGTGTGTGCGTGTGTGTGGAAAGCGATCCGTGCCTGATTTAGTGGGAAGTGTGTTTCACTGATTACAGGGCAGCCAGACCCTCCTTCCTTTTCCCCCCCCTCCCCCCTCACACGCCTTGCCGGACAAAAGTGCAAT